TTCACAAACTATAAAAATATACTAAACACTCTTAACAAAAACTACATATATACTTATGAAATCATGGAACATCACAATTTTCCTTATTTCGTTGTGTATGTCTACATTTAGTCTAGCTATCAATTCCATAATTTGGCACACTTATGATTCTTCCTAAAATCACCGGTACGAATCTGGAAAACATTCTAATGTCTAACAATGTTCTTATATACTTACTTTCTGTACACCCCTCTTATCTCAAAATTTTTCAATTGGAATATCAAATGAACAGGTCCCCACTATTCCATTTTATGTCCCTACCTAACCTTCAGAAAAAATAAATTTATTATGAAACACAAGAAAATAGATTTGTTTTATTCCAGTGTTACTTGTGAATATAATTTAATCACATAGTAGTTTATCAGACTTGTTTGCTTCACAAGCTATAAAATAAAATATTAAATGACAATTATTTACCCTCAACAAAATTTGAAATTGATTTCAGGGAGTGTGTACCGATGCATTATAGTTCTTATTTTATTGTGTATTTCTATAACCTGGTACTAAATACAGGAAAAAATTCTTATAAAACTAAAAACACTGGTGACCAGGATGGAGGCTTTCCAAGATGTTAAAATAAGTTTGGAGACTAGCATACCCTCTGTTTTTTATATTCTTGGTGATAATTGTACAAATGGTGTAGCTCTATTTATTTTAGACTGTAAGATAAATGAACATGAATATATAAATTATCATTTATTTTCTTCTTGTACACGTCTATTGACACTGTTTATACATAACCGCTCTCTTTGTACATAGAAATTGTTTGTTTTTATATTAGGTACAAATTGTAATTTAAGATATACTTACTACATTCAGTTGTGTATATTCAGGCATTTAGTATGAAAAATAAAACGAATGGTAACGATTTTGCTCTTTATTTAAATACCCAAACTTTCACCCAACAACACACGAGTTAAGGTGGATTACAAGTGGTACCATACAGATCATAAGCTGCAAATACACAAAGAAGTAAAATAGTTGGTTTGAGAAGTAGTGGTATATCTCAGCATCCTAGCAACGTTCAAATGGTGTAGCGCCATTCCTCAAGAATGGTACAACTCCGAAGTCATTTTACTATTCAAGAAAGGAGACAAAGCAAACATCGATAATTACCTACCAATATCCTTGCTATCACATCTGTATAAATTACTAACTAAAATCATAACCAACCGCCTAACACATAAGCTCGATTTCTATCAACCTATCGAACAGGCTGGATTCAGAAAACATTTTAGTACCATAGACCACTTGCACACCATAAGAACACTGATAGAAAGATGCACTGAGTATAATGCTCCAATTCATATGGCGTTCGTCGATTTCCATAAAGCATTCGATTCCATCGAATTATGGGTATTGCTTGAATCTCTAGAAAATGCACCGTATAGATTCAAGATACACTAACATAATTAAAAACATATATGAAAATGCCACCATGCAGATAAAGCTGGACGAAAGCACAAAACTACGAAAACGGGTAGTAAGACAAGGAGACACCATCTCTCCCAAACTATTTACCCTTGCTCTATGGAACAATAAGGGTATCAACTTTGACGGATCATACTTAAACCACTTGAGATTCGCAGATGACATAGTTTTAATAGCCGATAATATCCAAGAACTAAATGATATGTTACAACAATTAAATGCAGTTTCAGGAGCGGTAGGCTTAAAAATGAACTACAGCAAAACAAAATACTGAGGCGAGACCAGACAAATATAACAATACAAAATCATACCATAGAAAATGTTGAACATTATGTATATCTAGGTCATGTTATTAAACTAGGAAAACCAAATCAAGATGTTGAAATCAAAAGAACACAACTGGCATGGGGCGCTTTCGGCAAACTAGCATATGTCTTCAAAAACACCTCCATTCCTGTAAACTTAAAGAAAAAGGTGTATAACACATGCATACTACCAGTTTGTACCTACGGCTTGGAGACAGTAGCCCTTATCAAAAAATCTGCTAAAAATTAGAAACAACGCAAACAGCAATGGAACGAATCATGCTTGGAATAGCATGATTCGATAGATATCACCTATCATGATAATAGATAAGATTAGAAACACCGAGATAAGATGTAGAACGAAGATTAGGGGTATTGTGGAAGAAATTACAAAAATGAAATGGCGCTGGGCAGGTTACGTAGCCCGATATAATGACAACACGTGGACACGGAGAATTCTAGAATGGAGATCAAGGACGACAACAAGAATCATGGGAAGACCTCCTCAAAAAAGATGGGTAGATGACATAAGAGTAGTGGCAGGCAAACAATGGATTAGATTGGCGCAAGATAGAGAAAGATGAAATCAATTGGGAGAGACCTACATTCAGGAGTGGATGGAAAATGGTTGACAAAGAATAAGCGCCATCTAGCCTCTCACATTTAGTCGAATTTGATGAATTTTTTTACAGTACTGTTTTATGTGGAACAAATTTTATATGAGGTGATAAATATAACTTTCGTTTCATCATCCAGCCTTCATTTAGCACGTCCACTGCTGGACATAGGCCTCTCTTAAACTCCTCCATTGATTACGATTTTGTACTGTTTGTTGCAAATTTTTGTTGATTCGCCTGATGTCGTCAGCATAACGTGTAGGTGGTCTTCCTCTACTACGTTTGTCTGTTCTTGCCCTCCAATTTGTAATTTTGCTCGTCCATCGTTAGTCATACATTCTCGCTACATCGCCTGTTCATTTCCATTCTGCTATGCATTCCACAACATCAGCAATACTTGTCCTTCTTCGCAGATCTTCGTTTCTTATTTGGTCCCGCAACGTCACTCCCGTTGTAGACCGTTCCATTCGTCTATGTTGTGCCACCCTCAACTTCGCAGCCGCAGTCTTGGTTAGAGTCATAGTTTCCACCCCATAGGTCATAACCAGGCACTAAGTGTGTCTCGCAGTTTTCCAAAAGCTGCCCACGCTAAAGTAATTCGTTTTTGGATTTCGCATGTTGAGTTATCCCTGCTGATTCTTATTTCATGACCCAAATACGTATCACTTTGTCTTGAATAGATAAATGTTTATCGGAGACCTTATTTGTCATATTTAAACTGAGTTTTGGTTAAGTCATTCTGAGGCCCACCTTTGTACATGCAAAGTCATTAATTCAACATATCTGTGCCTTTTCCTAAATTATCTGTGATAAGGATATATTCCTGCATTTATTTTTGTTAATATTGGAAACGTTGTTGTTAATATTTTGTTAATTTTGAAATATTGGTATTTTCGTAATGATAAGACAAAAAATCAAAAGAAAAGTAACAATATAGTCCAGTTGTCAGGAAGTTGACTCCTAAAAATCATACAAACAAGCTGAATTTTGCAGAAAATATTAATTTTGGGACCCTAAAAAAGCAAAATAGTTTATCACTTTTACCCTCGGGCTTCCCCTTAAAACACCCTCGCAGGGGTGGTAAAAACGCAAATAAATCGATTTACCAAGAATCTGTACACTAGAAAAAAATGTTTTTAATAAAAAATGTAGCTGACATAATTATAACCAAAAAGTTCTATAAGCATTTTTTTGTGCAAAATGAACCGTTCTCTTAGAAACAACGCTTGAAGCCACCGTCGTTTTTGCATGCCAGTTACGCACGCGAAATCAATGTTCAATAAAATTTGTATCACCTCGACGGTAAAAATTCGATATCTTTTGATCCAAATGTATCGACAAAAATCAAGATGTGTTTTAAAGGCAAAGAGTGCAGCTTTCGTATACAGTTTTTTATTTTGCGAGAATAAACTCAGTTTTTATAAAGGTGTTAAATAAATTAACGTGGCTCGATTTTCGACATTTTTTACGATTCTCGTGAGATCAGTAAAATTGATCACTTTCATTGACCAGTTGTAATAAAATGTTCATTTGTGGAGATCAATATTTACAACATATGACATGAAATTTCAATTTTGAGGTGTGGTAACAAAGATGAGATAAAAAATTTAATGTCTTACAATACAAACGATCACACGTCATGGGAAATGCATTTAAGAAGACGGTTTTGGGTGTAGTTTCTTGCAGAAGTTTTGTTCTTTTAAAAAACGTACTAGTGTAATTGAAAAAAATAAGTTTTAAACGTTTTAGATTATTTGTTATGTGAAAGTTTAAATCCAGCGTTTTTAATCATATTTCCAATGCCTCACATTTGTTGCCAAAATCATTGATTATAGGTAAACCACTACTGTTCTAGTGGTTTATAATCAATGCCAAAAATTAAAAACTAAAATTTCATGCTATAGGTTTTTAAGGTTAGGTTCTAGTAATCGAAACTACATAATGACCAGTCAATGAAAGGAATGGATTGTATTGATCTCGTGAGAAGAAAAACGAACGAAGCTAAACTCTTTACTTAAAACGCATCTTGATTTTTGACGAGAGGTCATTTGAATCAAAAGATATCGAATTTTTACCGCCGAGAACATTGATTTCGCGCTCGAAACTGACATTCAAAATAGATGGTCGCGTCAAGCGTTGTTTCTAAGATAACGGTTCATTGTACACAAAAAATGCTTCTAAATATTTTTATTTAAAATTATTTCAGCTATATTTTTTTGAATTTTTTTTCTACGGTATAGAGATTCTTGGTAAATCGATTTTAACCTCCTGTGAGGGAGGTTTTAGGGGGAAGCTTGGAGGTAAAAGTTGTAAACATTTTTGCATCTTTTTAGGGTACCAAAATTAATATTCACGGCAAAATTCAGCTTGTTTCTATGATTTTTAGAGGTTCAGTGGCATTTTCGTCTCTGACGACTAGAGTAATAACTGTAGAATGTAGTTTTCATATGATTTGCGCCACATGTAGGCAACTTACAGTTCCATACAAAATTCTGAAAAACGCTAAATAAAAGTCACACATTCCAAAGGTACAAGGTATATAGCAATCACTTATACAATGAAATAAAACTAACCTCACTCTTAGTATATTTTTAATAATGTACATTTTTTACAAAATTTCAGTTCTTTCTGCTTTGTATCCTGTCTACCTAAAACTGCAGGTACTTTGCTTATAAGTTTCATTAGAATTACAAATATCCCCAATTCTGTATTTATTACTATAATACTGTTCCGGTTATTGTACCGTGAAAAATGTCTCTCAAGGTTCTTTGGTTCGTCATAGTACTAACAGAATCAGGTGCAAATTTTACAATACTCGTTATGAAAGGTAGTTTTTCTAATTTTGCTTCTATCGTTACGTTTCCTTCTTCGTCATAACTTTTCCAGGTAATATGGATGTTGCCTAAAAAGAATAAATAATTGTAAGATTTACTACTATTGGTCTGTTCCTCATAAAACTGACTGGGATGACTTGCCCAATTTTATAGCGTTGTCATATGATCAGAATTTGGTAGTACTGTGACGACCAAGAAAACGACATTTAGAAACCAGCTACAGGAACTAGAAAGGCTCAATTCACAAAGCGAAGTGCGAAAATTAGAATAACCACAATAAAGAGTAAGGAAGCCGAAATTATCAATGAACCGAATCAAATAGTGGAAAGATGGGCGGAGAATTTTGCTGAGAAATTAAATATAGGCAACCAAGAAGTGAGTGACATAAATGACCACAGTGGAGACGTAAACGATGAGAGGGAGAAAAATAACATACCAGCAAAAGAAGAAGTTGCCAAGGCAATAAAAAGGTTAAAAAACAACAAATCTCCTGGAGAAGATGGTACACCCCCGAGCTGTTCAAGTATCTAGCAAACGTCCTAAAAAAATACATGATAAAACTTGTTACATCCATTTGGAGAGAAGGAAAACTCCCAGACCGTTGGAATGTAGGTATTATAATACCTATTCACAAGAAAGGGGATCCACTAATATGTGACAACTATCGAGGCATTACCCTCCTAAATACGGCTTACAAAGTACTGGCTTATATACTTTATGATCGATTAGTATATACTGAAGAAAAAATAGGCAAATACCAATGTGGATTCCGAAATGAAAGGTCAAAAATTGATCAGATTTTCCTTCTCAGACAAGCCATAGAAAATACATGAATATGAAATTGATATCCATCACCTCTTCATAAATTTTAAAAGTGCTTATGACAGTGTAGACAGAAGCGCACTTTATAATGCCATGGCAGAACTAGATATTCCGTCGCATCTAATAACATTGGTAAAGGCAACTCTTTCGAAAGTTGAGTGCAAAGTCAAGGTACAAAACAGAGTGTCAAGGTCTTGTCAAACACATACTGGATTATGCCAGGGAGTCTATTGTTTAACATCGCGCTAGAAAGAGCCATAGAGAAATCGGGCATAACAACCAGAGGTATGATCATCAATAGAAGTGTACAGGTATTGGCCTACGCAGATGACATTGACTGCAGGTTAACGTATCCAAAACAAAATACTTGAAGGTCACGAACATCACACAAATAGCGGCACCACAAGATTTGGTGACAGAAGCACACACATTCGAAGGGGTCTCGTAGTTTATATATCTTGGAACACAACTAAATAACAGCAACCTAGTAAGCGTAGAAATTAAGAGAAGAACATACCTGGCGAACAGAGCTTACTTTGGACTAAAGCAGTTCTTAACATCACACATAATTAGCAGAAAAACCAAGATACTAATATATGAAACTCTTATTAAACCTGACCTGACATACTCGTCAGAGGTCAGAGACATATGTTGGACATATATGGACTATGAAAAAAAGCGACGAAGAACTGTTAGGCCGCTTTGAAAGACGAATTTTGAGTTGTATCAATGCTATAAAAATGCAACATCGTCCCGTCTATTAAAATTAAGACTAAGGTGGCTAGGACACCTTGAAAGAATGGACACTGGAGACCCCCAAAGACAGATATTCTATCCAAGAATGGCCAAGATCTAGATTCAAAACTTAAGTCGAAGATGACTTGAGGAATCTAGGGGTCAGAAATTGGAAAGCCAGGGCGAAAGATAGGGAGGAATGGAGACTAATTCGTAAACAGGCCAAAACCCACCCAGGGTTGTAGAGCCAAAGATGATGATGATGATGACTGTGACGACAATACTGTAAAAAATGCCATTTATGAGTTTTATGACATACAACATAGTCCAGGCTGTGAGGCCGCTCCCGTTGGGAAAATGTTTCTGATTCGGTTTCTTCGCGGATTCCGGTTCAAAAATGTCCCCTTTTAAACAAATCTGAAGGTTGCCGGGCGAAATTTTTGGGCAGAAATTGGTTAAACAATTTTTTTAAATAAATTCCAAAAATAATTTTTTTTTTAATCTAAAAAACGTTTTCTTAGGTTTTTTGGGTCATTTTAAACAAAAAAGATCTCTTGTCATTTTTCTCTGAAGTTGATAGTTTTCGAGTTATAAACGATTTAAAGTCTGAAAAAACGCGAAAATACGCATTTTTGAGGCTTGAAAACACATATGTAAATTATTATTTTTGAGGTTACCAAGTGTCTAAATTGAAGTTTAAACATTCAACTTCAAGATTGTGAGGAGTAATCGGGGCTTATTTTAATTTAGACCGTTGTTTTTTAATTGTTAAGTATGCGCGTACACTCGATCTTTCAGCCGCCGCGGCGCGGCGCGCTATCGTGCGCCTCTATAGTACTTATGCATAGTTTACATATAGGTACTTACGCAAAAAAATCCGAACAAATACTTGAAGTTTATTAACATAGTTTTTTCCATAATTTATTTATGTAGGTATTAATTATTGTCATTGGGTTAATTATATAAATCAATCATCGCAATGTAATAACCGTATATACTTTTTTTCTTCCATATTTGAACAATATAAATTATTATTTATTGATTATATATTTATTTATATCAATTGTAAATAATATTTTTAAATTATTATTTAAATAATACAATGAAGTAAATATTAATATTAGTAAACTTAATTTTAAATTGCGCGGTGTTTAAAAAACAATATACTATCGCAAAAATGCAAGTTTTTACTGTTTAACAATCGCGCGCTCATACTTGTTTTATATTACTTAAACGATCATTAGGAAGACTATTGTTTAATGCCATTAAAAGGGTATTATATTATTAATGTGTTATTAAAAAAATTGTGAATAGATTTAAAATGTCTTTTTCTGTAGCTCTCCTTAAAAGAAAACTTACCGAAGAAAATTTAGTTTGTATTTTTTGTAATAACATCAACAATATTAAGTTAGTGCAAAAACCTAAAGTAGATTCTTACATAACAATACAAAATGCTGCTCTTCGACGAAAAGACAGTGTGACTTTTTTTACGAAATTTATATTATAACTCAATTGATATAAATAAATATATACTTAAATCGCTTATAATTCAAAAACTATCAACTTTAGAGAAAAATGACAAGAGACCTTTTTTTGTTTAAAATGACCCAAAAAACCTAAAAAACGTTTTTCAGATTAAAAAAAATTATTTTTGGAATTTGTTTAAAAAAATTGTTTAAACAATTTCTGCCCAAAAATTTCGCCGGCACCCTTCAAATTTGTTTAAAGGGGACATTTTTGAACCGGAATCCGCGAAGAAACCGAATCAGAAACAATTTCCCAACGGGAGCGGCCTCACAGCCTGGACTAACAAACTTGTATAAAAAAACAAAAAAACTTGAATAAAAATATATACATAACGATTATCAGAAATCAAAAACTTTTTTCTATACTAACTTTCTATAATAAAATAATTGTAACTAACCTGCGACAGATGAAGTATTTAGTATCCATAAAAATATGGAATATACAGGTATATTATAAAGTGCATTTCTGATTCCCAACAATAATCGATCTATAAATAATGTAACAAGGCGAAACTAAAATTAAAATAAGGATATTATTGGCGCCTTCATGTTTCCTGATCTGCAATTGTCAAATGTAATTCATATACTTACTATGGAAAATACTACATAGTACATAGCAGTAGTGGGCAGCAAAAACAATAAAATTGTAAAAGATAATGTTCCAATAAACAACTGATTGTGAGAATATTGACATGAATCAACTCTATTACGCAAAGGATTGAATTTCCTTCCAATCACCACCCTCCATAACGATGATAAACATTTTAACTGTAAATTAAAGATCCTGAAAACATAATATTTATTTATGTGGAGTGGCTGTAAAATAATTGGAATAATGCTTTAACTCTTTGTTCCCCGGAATAAGATTTCTTAGAAATTTTGGAAAAAAGAGTACAAATTTGATTAAGGGATGTGTAAGTAGTATAAAATAATTTTTTCAAATTTTTTGCCCAATCCCTTATAAGGAGTGGGGAGCCGGGACCTACAAATCCCGTCATGGACGAGAGTGATGGTAACTTTAAACTACACAATGTTCCATACTTGTTTATTCAGTAATATTCGGTAAAACAATTTTTCTTATCACTAACACATAGATATACCGAACATTTTGAATATGGTCGTGACTCTATTGCAACAGACGAACATTGTTCGCATCTACCACTTTTTGGGGTAAAAATTGGCCAGTGCACTCCACGGTTGCCCAGTCTAACATCGTCAGAAACACTGTAGTTATATTTCCTACGTTTTGCACACACCAAAGAATTTTGTGGACTGTTTCGAAGTGTCACTGAAGACGCCGATCCTCGGTTGTTTTGTGTGAGAGGATTGTTGGTTTGATTCATGAGTCCTAGGACAACTCCTCTTCTAAAATCAAGTAACATAAGATGCTCTTCGGGATGATGTTTTTTATAGACGATGTAACTATTAACGAATGCAATATCAACAATTCAAAAAAATAGGCGGTGCCACCATTTTTTGGACCGCCTATTGATGCAATATGCTTGGCGAAGTCTATCCGCTTAATCTACACCACCCATATGTTTATTATAATCATCGACAATCTGGGCATAATTTATATCGATCTTGGTACCATCTTTCTGTTGACGTTTGACTGTAGTCAATTCTGTGCCATGGAAGTTGGATAAAAAATGTACTATCCTGTTGTCACACCATTTGAAGAATGATATATCCATATTTGACACTCTATAATCAATATCACCTCGCCGAAAGGATTTATTTCCTTTCATATTATTTGATGGTAATACTAGTCGATCACGCTGAACTGTTCCACATGCCAACGTGTTTTCAGTTTTTAGTTTTTCTAATAAAAAGTCTGACGTGAAGTAAATGTCGAAATATATTATACGACTAGTACCCCAATAATATTCGGTCAAAGTCAAAACAACTCTTTCGCCCAATCCGAAATCCTGAAACTTTTTTTCGGCTACCCGTTTTGGTCTCCCAGGCACCATAGTTTGTACCCTCTTTTGATGGGGTTTTTAGCGTTGTATTGCTTCAATATGGAGTGGCCTTTGAAGATTATCATGGATTTGTCAACTGTAAGAGTCCTCGTTCCATTAAAATATTAAAGCGTCCGTTCAAAGCTGTCACAAAAGGTCTTATCTTATAGATTTTGTTTTGTTTGTTGAGGGGTATTGTCGAATTCTCATTTATATGCAGGTATTGCAAAAACTGCTCAAAACTACTCCTAGGCATTACTCTTTTTACAATTGCTACTCCGAGATTTTCAGCACATGACCAGTAATGTGTATAACTTGGTAGTGTATGGTAGCCCATAAAAAAGTTAAGTCCTAGGAAAACCAATAGTTCACATTCTTTAAAATTCATAGTCTTTCCAAGTTGAGTAGCATACAAGTTTGATTGGTAGATGATGTCCCTTATAGTATTTGGCCCCAACACTGTTAAAAAGTAATCAGTGTAAGTTGAGCAGTGTTGAAAGTGTTCTTCAATCACATTCTCATCCAAACTTCTGCTTTTCCTCCTGAAAATGTTACCTACCTATATTTCAAATAATTTATTTTCATTTAGTTTTTAGTACTCATAGGAACATCCTTGCGTTCAATTCTTCTCCCTACTTTAGGTAGATACACCCTGTTTTCAATAAATAATACATATACAATAACATACATGTCAAATCCCTGATGGGACGTAGAAGTCCTGTAGATAAATTGCTTTGGTAAAGTCTTTTTGTACAAACTAATTCAATAACTGATATTTGTTTGTGTGTTTGAAACAACAATGAGCTCAAATTCGCAATAAATTATACTCCTCCCTCTGATAACTTAGAAAACAACACTAACAAAACATACAACACAGCTGACGCAGTCATTGCTCAGTCACACTAACGAAAACATTTAAGTAAATGTCATCATCGTGTTATAGCGAATATTCTTGGTTGCCTAAGTGGAAGAAAAATGTGTACTCAAGAGCCCTGTTACGAATTTATTGATAAATATGAAATATTCTACTTAGCCACTTATTTTAAATTATGTGGGACCTTAGAGTCCCGTCGGGGAACAAAGGGTTAAGACATTTTTTCTGCTTTGATATTAGGAAAAAAACCTTTATTTCAGAACTGTCAATGCCTCTGCAAGAGTGCATTATAGCCCCTGGTTTCATGTTTCTGCCTGATACTTTGGCTACATTTGTGACTGTTATTATATCAGTGATGCAGGAGTGAACATAAATGGGGTCTTTCACTCTGGTTGATCACTGATGAACTTCCTTAGTATTTGTGCCTTGTATAACTGTTGTGTGTTGTTATTTGTATCCAATACATATGGATTGTTATTTAAACAACACAAATTACCATCCTTAACGGAAAAAAATAGTAAAACCTTAGCAGAGATCCAAAACCTATGTTCAGGTGCAGGAATTTATTGTAGTCTCTGTAGCTGTTTAGTATACATAAACCACAGTGTAAATATTTGTTGGACTAAACACATCTGAAACTATCATCTCAGTCACTGTGAAATATCTGCAGTTACCAGATGGAGAAACAAAATCCATACCATTGTTTACACAGAATTTTTCAAAACACTGTGAAAACAGTATGTAATTAAACTATTTTTAGAACAGCTTTAGAAAAATACTTTTTAACTTACAGCTACTTACCTAGCAGCATTAACATATATGCAGTAACTATGAAAAGTAGCAATGGCTATAACGTCAGAAATCATGGCTATCTGGTATGAAAACCCCAAAGCTCCTGGTAGCATAAAGTATTTAAAGTTACTAACAAAGATGGGGTAAGCTCCTTGTAAAAATATCCTCCATAAAGAAATGTGGTACAAAAAGAACTGGCCTAAAAAGTTGTTAAAGCCATAGTTGAGTTTGAGGCCTATCGGGGATCCCATAAGGTACAGTAGGAGGCCTTTCAGGCTAGAAACAATACCCTAAAACAAAAATAACAAATTACAAGTAAAACCTAAAAAACACAAAACATAAAAGCAAACAACAAGACATTTCCTTATATAGTCTAATGTCCCAAAGGAAAGTTTTAGTGCTCTTATTAAGGGCATGAAAAGTACTTTTCCCACAAAGTTTACCATTGGAAAGAAATATAAAATAAAACTTTTATGAAAAAGAATATAATCACAAAAAATCGTATGATATAAAACCAATAGACTGAATGGAACATTTAAATCATAAAAATAAAAACTTGAGTGCTAATATAAAATCTCAATAAAAATACTATCTACCTCAAAGGTGTTGTAGACCAACAAAAATATCTGATCCTCATACTGCATGACATAACTCGTAAGAAAAACTCCTATGAAAATATCTATTGATTTGGCAATAATAACATTCCCCATTTTCGGAGTTACCACTTTTTGGTCTGCAGCTGTGCTCAGAAACCATTTCATAGTCTTCAAGGTCTCTTCGAAATGTGTAAAAGTTGAAGACTTTTGTACTATCAAATTCAGTCTTGAGAGAAAGTTAAGACATATATTCAGTAGTAAAATAACTTTCAATAAAATGATTGTTAAAAAATGTCTTCCATTTTCTGATATTGAGTGAGCATGTTTCCGTAAGTCTATACTCAGACTCTTAAAATGCTCTCCGTAGTTTTCTGCGTTGTGATACAGGATGTCAGAGTTTTTAAATCTTTTAAAGTCATAAATGATTTGAGTCACTGGATATTTTTCCTCACACATTAGGAATATTTGCTTATTTGCACTATTTATAAATAAACTAACATCTTTCTTTAAGTTATCACACTCTTTTATAAGTCCTATGTACCCTACAGGGTCGTAAGCCTTATTTGAGGGCTTATCACTAGTTATATAGAAAACTTCAGCATTTTTGACTGTTCTTTTCGTTCCTGATAAATAACCACATAATCTAGTGTCCAGACTATCTGGTATAAATATCAGGACAGTGTTTTGGGCCATTACTATATATCTAAATAGTAATTTTTGATTTTGTTATTTTTGAATGACATCTTCCTTCCATTGGAAGTTTGACTTTGGTTTGACAGACAATAATAAAGACACGTGCGGCGTGCGATAACCACGTTGCCAGGTTAATAAAAAACATTCCAATATAAACAAAAACATAAAAAATTTTTAATCTCAGTTGACTTTTGAGTTGAGCTAGACTAAATAATAATTGGTATATTATTATAAAATAAATTTTGATTTCATTATTTATTTAGAAACTCAAACCATTGGATATTTGGTAATATATTAAATTAATTTTGTGTTTCATGGATAGAAATAGATCAACAGACAACGCAGCACATGATTCATCCAATTAATAAGGAATATGGACCTACTTTTTACCAGATGATCATTGTTTAACAATAGTTAACCTTCAATAATGTTATTGTTGATATGTTGATGTATTTCACGCTATCAGGGATTATAAATCTATGATGTAGTTGAAAATACATGGTTTTTGCTATTTGGCAATGTGTTTTAACTTACATTGATTTATACAAACATGGACACACAATCACTACCATCCACGTCTTCCAGAGATCCTTTATTCGAAAATGAACGTGATGAGAGGACAGTACCACCCCCCAAAGTAAAGAGATTCACGGTAAGACCATTATTAAAGCCATTTTAACCGCGTATCATTAAATAAATTTAAATTGAAATTTCAAGTACATTTTATGATGTAAAATTCTATTAGTAGATATTTTTTATTTATTAATATTTATTACTAACTTCTTTGCATTGATTAACCAGAGAGATCTTTCTGTAGTATATGACTAGCTGCTTATGTCTAGGTTTTTGAATTTCTTGTTTGAGAATCTATTTGTATTTTAAATTCTTTCCTGGGTTCAAAATATTTTATCTTACTATTTGTGGTGATGTCTTTGCTTTGGTGTTTTCTATTAACAAAGGGACAAAATTATTTTTGTTGTCGCTGTCGATGTGAATTCAACAATTTTACAACTATTTTAGAATGTTATGTCCATTAACAATGCAGAAAGTGAAGAGGATATCCATGAGATTTTTGTTAATGCCCAAGAAGATTGTCCCATCATATCCTCAGTACGTAGAAGGGTCGAAACTAGTAAAGAAAAAGTACAAACTGGATCTCTGAATGTTTTATCAGCCAAGTATGAGGTAAGAAAAAGTTTCTATCTAAATTATTTATTAATTTTATGATGTGGAATGTTTTTTGAAAATAACATTGTTTGTTTGTTTATTCTATATTGAGTTTATTAAAAAGTGGGGATTTACTCCTGTAAACTTTATCAGTGTTAACATCATTTATGGGGATTCACTAATACTTTATTGCACAAGGACATTTATTTTGTGGTTTGCGCATAGCTTTTTTTATACTATTAACAGTACAGGGTGTTTCATGTAAATTACACATCGCTCACTGGATGCAATACTGATTACTGGCCCATCTAATAAATTAGACTTTATAGAAAATAAAAGTTTTGTAATTTAAAAATAGTAAATTGAGATTTTCGTGAATATTTTTATGTCAGTTCTAAATATTTTTCTCATGTTTTGTTATTTATAAAAAAAAAAACATAAAATGATAAAAAAAAATTTTCTTTACTTTTAAGAAAAAAATTAAAATTACTAAAAATGTGCCATTATTGACATTTATATATTTTTAAAACAATTATTAAAACAAGTAACAAATTGAAGACGAAGAATATAAAAATAAATATAAAAATGCTTTTATTGGTATTTTTATTCTACAAAATATTACAACTTGTTTCTGTAAAAATACCCTATTTCTAGAAAAATGAAAAGAAACACACTCTAACAATAAAAAACCTAAACATTTTGAAAAAACTGACTGCACAAGTTTCTAGTATAGTGAATAAAAAACAAAAAGCTACAACTATAATCATAAAAGAAAAATACTACCTAATAATATTTTTGTATAACTAAGTCAACCCTTTAAAATATGTTCTTAACTTATTTTAAACACACTATTACAGCTTTTAAGTGTGCGACAATACATTAAAATTATAGTTTGCAAAAATCTAAGGTAATAAAACCGGTTGATTATTATTTTTTTATAGGGTTTGAGACTGTTGTAAAAATGTGCATGGCACTTTTTAATAGCATTGGTCCTCAATAATTCCATTAGGTCTTCATATTTTCCTTTAGACATTTTGAGAGGTGCTTTGTAAGCACATTTTAATTTTATGGTTCTAAAATTCAGAGAGGCAGTGTTGTTTGTTCACAGATTTTTTCTTGGTTTAATACTTACAGCGCTATATTCAGACTGACTGAATGAAGGCTTATAGTAAAATTGGTCCATATTATCTCTTTCAACTTTAAACATGCGTACTTCACTAAACTTCACAGTATCATTTAAAGAGTCTTTAGTAAAATTAAAGGAGGTTTACAAAGTTAACTTTTTTATATCAAAAAAGTCATTGTAACTCATTTCCACTACTGTAAAAGTTTCTCCGGTTTTCCTTGCTGTTTGCACTAATATTACATACTGATCTGGTGTTGAAATTGGACCTGAACTAAGACTCCTGTTTTATATTTTTTTCTATGAGGTAGTGGACATTGTCTCCTTCATTTTGAGTATATCCGGTAACCAGGTACTTATGAGTAATTGATTTTATTTTACTGTAATTGGCTAATGCATAAAAGTAAGCTGCTAATACAAATTTGTTTTTCTACTGTCCCGAACAATTATCTGAGTTCTTTACTCACCAGGTCGCAAACTGTAAAGTTCTAGATAGAAAGTTTTGACTTATAATAAAACGTGGACACATCACCTTTTGGAGGCGGTAATGTAGCTTCTAAGTCAAAACAGACAACCTTATAAGATTCAGATATTCTATCCCTGTCCGCTTGCTTCTCTGCCCTGCTTAATTTTTCTTCTTGTTGTTGAGATAAGTAGTCAATGTTTATCGCTTTCTTTTCTACTTCATCCGCATTTTCAAAAGCAACGCACTTTTGGCATTGGTCCTTCTTAGGAACAAAGAATGCCAAGTTGTATTCATAATTAAATACATCCCTGTATGTACTTAGACTGACAAAATGTTTGTCCTGGGCTAGGCATAAATTCTTATAGTCTCGGTATAAATTTGCAATCGTTTTTCCTCCTTCAATATACTGTTTTTAAAAATGTGCTCTGACATAGTGACATTCGATCTTCGGAATTGATTCAATATGGGCATGAATATCAATTTTGGTGCCAGACTTATTTTTTTGCTTTCCATGTCTTCCTCTTTTTTCTTAGAAACTGCCTTCTATTCTTGCACTTGTTACACTTCTAATACAATGGCTTGTTACTCCTAAAGTATATACAAAAAATATCTTACATACTCGAATTTTATGATCGTTTTTTGGAAAATATAATGCATTGTTATTTCTTCGTTTTTTTATGTAAGCTGGTCTCAGTTTTCATAACTTTTTGCACTAGTGTTGAAATAAATGCTCTTTGCTTCTCGATATTGCTCAAACTTGCTCAAAAAATTAGTAGCACACTTAAATCTGCAATGTTCTCCACATGGTGGTTTAATTTTTCTGGCCGCTATTTGTTGACCTGTCTTATATGGCTTGCCGCTATTTCTTAAAGTTTTGGCTTGGTTTCTCTTCCAATTTTCAGGTATCCTTTTTCTCTTCCTACTTTTCTTCTTCGCCTCAGGTTCTTCTTCCACATTTTTTTCTTTTAAAACTTCTAATGGTGAATTTTCGTTGCTGCTTGAAGATGTGTTTGTGTCGTCTTCATAATTTGGATCAGCAATATAGTCATCTGAAAAACCGGCACCTTCATCTTCTTCGAAAGGGGTGTTTACATTTACCAAAGAGAAAATAGGGTTTTCTATTGAATTTTCTTTTTGAAATGTATGCAGATCTTTTATTCATTCAACTTCTTTCAACAAAATATTTTCTACTTCCATTATTACAGCATTTTGTAACTGAACATCGTTACTTATTTCAAATGACTTGTTTTCTAATGTTTCAACATGGAGGATCTCTTGTTCAAATTCAATAACATTCTCACAAGAATTTATATTTTTATTCTCGACATCACTTGGCTCTGAAACGAGTGGTGCAATCTTCCAAATATTTTTATCGTCGGCATCCACAGATCTCATTAATCTGATACCTACAGCGTCCAACAGTTTTGCACCTCTTGAATAAGAATCCATCTTTGGTGTATTATCTAAAAAAAATCGCTGCAACCTTACAAGATTCAAAAAACAAATTTGTTCATTCATACAGCAAATTCCCAACTATGTAAAACAAAGGCACGTGTTGATATTCGCTTACTGTATTATTCGTCAAGAAACTATTAACTATGATTTATCGCCCTGTAGCGTATTGGTGTTATAGTTACTGTTATTTACTGGTCATATTATTCTTTATAAGTTTTATAGTGTGTAGTGAACTTCTAGAATCCAAAAACAAAATATTTAAGTATTCATCAAAAATCAAAATAACTTGTGGTAATCACTATAAGAGAAATATTTTACTTTATTGGTGTTTAAAAAAGTACGATCCTGTTTGGCTTTGAGGTACGATTTTGTTTACAGTAGGAAATAAGATATTATGCAAAATAAATGTATGAAATAGTAATAACTAAAACAAAGTTACTAAAATTTTGCTAAAAGTTATTTAAATTTCATTGTCAATAGTGGCACAATTTATAAATTTCTACTTAGTAAACAGTAGGTCCTCTAAAAATATTAGCATTACTGGTACAATTATTGAAGATGTTTTACAAATAAACAATTGGCACTTTTAAAAGTGCCATTATTGTCACAATAAAATTATGATAATTGTTAAAACTTACCCAACTAAATCAATATGTCACTATTGCACGCTCTTCGTACACTTGTAGAGGCTTGTCGACGTACTAAACTGTTGAGCCGGTGTTGCTCCTCAGATGTGGCAAAAATGCGCGAAAGTCAATAACGTCATTTGCGCTATCTACCGGGGAATGAGAGAGCTATTTATATGCCAGTATTGATAGAAGGTATTGCTTTAAAAGCTAGGTATTGTATTAAAACTCAAAACAGCAAAAATTTGAGATGTGCCACTATTGCATCCAGTGAGCGACGTCAGACTTATCTATGAAAATAATTGGATTTGCAATAACTTTGTAAATTTTAATGGAACAACCTGTAACTGTAACATCACATTTACATAATTTTTTATAGAGTTTAGACTATGACACCTGTGAAAACCACCTGCTTTTAGATGAAGAAAGAAAAAAGGGTTACAAATTTATAGTGCAAAAAAGTATATCAAGATGGTTTATATTTTTATTGATAGGAATGTGCACAGCCCTAATAGCGTGTGTCATAGATATATCCATAGAAGAATTATCAATCATTAAATATGCGTCTTTAAGTAAAAGTATCCTTTTAACAAAAAATAAATACTGAGTTTTTTATCTAATGAGCTGTGATAATTGAAAACTGTCAAGTTATTATTTAATAACATAGGTTCTGTTTAATTAAATATTTACAAATATATTATCCTTATTATATATTATTTATTATATATTAAACTTATCTCAATTTGTGTACTAATTATAATATACTGACAGTTAAATTATAAAATATTGAACATAGACATATTCAACACCATTTCCTGATTAAAGAAGATAGTATTGTAAGTTTTCCAGAAGCTGCTGCTGGAAAAGTGTTTTGTGTGGATCAACAAACCATTTTTGAACACTTACTTCCCAATTATTCACAACTTTATTGTTTACAACAAATTGCCATTGAATGTCTCGTTCATGTTGTCCAAATCGTTTTCGAACTGGAAATCCAATATATGCAGCAGAACCATGCTGCTGGAACTATTTTGTTCTTTGTACCTATTAAAATTAATTATTTCCTCTCGATTTTAATATTTTGTTAGACAATCTATCTAAAATAACCTTATGAAGTTTCCTAAAGTCCCTACCTAAGATAACTATTATGAGACTTTTTTTTACCAATGATTTCATTATCCATTGATATTTCTTTATGGACATCCATAGTTTTTCCACTTGTAGTGATACCATACTTTCTACAAGGAATTTTAAATCTTCAAGTTGGTAATAGGTCTTCTCATAACAGTATGTATTTTTCAGCTATTCTTGCTTTCAGTACAAGACTGTGACACTATCAAAAGTTTGTGAATTACTTTTCTTCACTGTGGGTAAGTTCTAGATACCTAAAGCCATCTGCACATTCCATAATAATTCATAAAACGCCTTTGGCAACATTTGAGGTCTCAATGTTACTAGGATTGTTAGATCAGTGTTAATTTTTTTACCAACTCACGATAGGTATGTAGACGATTTTTAATTAAAGTATGTTCTATACATGGATGGCATGTCAGCGAATCTTCTGACAAGGTGGTTTCACAAATTCTCATTCCAAAATATGTTACCATTATTTTAACATTTATCAAAGTTTCAGTGCATCCATTTCAGTTCGGCTAATGGATTAGGTCCAGAGTCAAAGGAAACCAATAGCACACATTTAATTTTTAGTTATCTGTAGATCATTTTCTACATTTTCCTTGGATTCTTTTAATTCCATTTTTGGTTTGAATTTGTCTGAGTTGAATGCTGTCAATGCAACCTCTCTTTTTTTGTTGTGTCTAACATTATTTTTTACTAACTGTATCATCTGCATCTTTCTCTATTAATTTTGACCCCAAAATATTTGGTTTTTTGTTTATGGTATTGAAGTCTTGTTTCATATTTAGGAACATTGCATACAGTCTGGTCTTGTATCATCGAGAGTGACAAATTTGAGTAATTGATTGTGCTTGGGATCTAAAAAAATAAAAGACCTATTTAATTAAGACCTAATTAAGTACAGTTTATTAAAACAACTACTTGTTATTGATTTTATAAATATTCTTCTAGAATATTCCTAACTCTTGATAGCAACATTGTGATTACATTTAATCTTGATAGTAGTTCACGAACCTATATTTTTCAGATTATCTGGGACAAATTATTAATAATCGGAAAAACTTCATAGATTATATTTCGTAATATGTTAGATAAATTATAAAAGATAATATCTGTAGAATGGAAATATTTTAATTGATATAAACTATACATTCATTAGCTATGACAATATGAATTAATGATTATTCTACTCTTTAAATTAAAAATGATTGTAATTGTAGTTCAAAGAGATTTACTTCAAAGATATTTAGTGAAAAATGGATAAGGGGGAATTTTATGTAACATAAAAAGTAATTTTGCCGAATGTAAAAGCAAATAAATATTAACATTTTTTTTTTATTATGGAGTAAGATATTTTTTAAATCAAAATCACAAAATATTTCTAAACGGTAAATCACATTGCTGAAGTCACTATTAAGTAGATTTTTTACATAATTGAATTTGAAAATGACATTGTTCCTTGTTACTTTATTATTATTTGAGACATAGGACATAGGTTCTGTCGGGTTTAACTCACAATGGTATGGCGACAATCGAACTACAATTGAAGACCCTGGTGCAAGAAGGGGATAAGTAACAATATGCAAATTTTACAGGAGAAGCAAAAAAAGTTTTATTTTTTAATTTAAAATTTATGTTGTTCATGAAGTAGAGCCGAACTAATGCAACATGTATACATGATTTTGCCGCCATTCTACAGCCAAACAACAATGCTATTAAGGAAAAAAAAATTGGTGCAATAATAGAATAAGTTTAAGCCTTTTTTGTACTGTAGTTTACAGCAGGTGCAAAAAGGGGATCAGTTACATTAAAACCCATACAGAAGAAATACTTTATTATTAAATGTGAACTACTTATTAATAAAAATAAATATAAAATAAAGCAACGCAAATTTTAACAGAAAGTCTATTTCTTTTACAAACAGGTATCCATTATAAACGTTTTAATAAAATAAAATTAATTAATCAGACTCATCATCGACAGAGCTATGTGTATCCGTGACATCTGAACCAACTTTTATCTTTGCTAATGTATCTTTGTCTGATTTAACAGATTGATCAAAATACATTTCGTTCTTTCCGACAGATTCATTAGCTAACAACATAACATTTTGATATTTTGCATGCTTAATACGCAAAGCATTTTCGTAACATTTTGATATTAAAGTTAAATTTGGTTTTGAGTTATTTTTAAGCATGGTATAATGTGTAAAGAAAGGGGCACTAGCAGTCTGACTAACTTTAACGCCATTTAAGTTTTTTGTGTATTTAAATACACGATATGTAGAAATAGTAAACGTTCCTTTACAGACAGATTTCGGCACGGGAAGAAAATAGTCTTTTATCTTCTTTTTTTGAACTCTTTTACAGGACCAACAAAAAAGTTTTTTGATGATGATTTAACTATATTGATGTACTCCTGTGGTAATAAAATCCTCTCAATGCATTTCTTCTTTTTTTCAATTATTCCGAAGAAGCGATCGCAGGGAAGGAAGCTATGTCCCGGCTCAGGAAACGATGAATTTTGGTATCAATTTTTCCCTCCTGACACAATGCAACTAAAAAGCTAACCAAAGTATTATTTTTAATTTGCGCGCAACAGTTATCGCTAAATAAATATAATATTTGACATTTGGGTTTAAAATAGTAATGTAAAAGGCTTAACACATTTCCCGTTGTCGTAGATTTATAAGCTTCACCTAGTTCTTTTTCTTTTCGGCACATTTCTTTTCCAGCTCTTTGGATCTCTTGTTTTCTTTCGTCCATGTTTATTATTTGCAGCCTCTCTATCAGCGGACTCCTTCTCTTCATATAAATTATTTTCAGATGCACCAGAATCATTCGAAGGCAGAAATTCGCTGCCTGAACTTTGAAATGGTTCATCCTCACTATTTGAACTCATAATAATATCCTATGATCTAGTAATAATAAAAAAAATCATCGATATTTTACTAAACCGTACCTCTTGCACTATGTTAACTCTCCAACGGGGAGTTAACATAGCGCCGTTAACATCTCCAACCTGCAATATTGGGACGGAATACACATATAAAAATTAATTCAAAATTTGGTGCAAGAATAGGATAAGTTCCTGACACATTTCTTATACCGTTCTTGCACTAGACCATACCAGGGGATAAGTAGTTTGCTCTTATAATTTCAGTATCTATTACCTGTACACGAACACTCATCCTACCAGTGCTGACATATGGGTCAGAAACATGGACCATCTCCAAAACAGACGCAAATCTTCTGCTCGTCTTCGAAAGGAAGATACTAAGAAGAATAATGGGCGCATTCTGTGAGAATGGTATTTGGAGAAGGCGATATAATTTCGAATTGTACGAGAAGTATAAAAAAATAGTAAATGGTAGAGATGTAATATCCTTCATAAAAATAGGTAGGCTTAGATGGGCTGGACATGTGTCAAGAGCAAATGAAAATTACCCACCCAGACGAACTCTATTATCGGTCCCAGTGGGAAATAGGAGTAGAGGCAGACCACGACTGAGATGGAGGGACGGTGTGGACGAGGACGCAAGGAAAATCGGCGCGGCAAATTGGCAACGGTTGGCGATGAACAGAAACGACTGGCGAAATAGACTGGGGAAGGTCAAGGCTCAACTAGAGCTGTAGCACCAAAGATGATGATGATGATTACCTGTACATATCCGATACTTGTGCCAGGCAAGAACAGTTACTTTTTCAACCTAAATAAGCACCTATCTCGCTTTTGCAGAATTTGGTCCTTATCCCTTTCTTGCACCAGGGTCTTCAATTACGTTTCGTTCTCGCGTCATTTCATCTACTTCATATTTAATATATTTATCTTAATGACATTATGCTACGTTTAGTAAATCGATTTTTAAAATTGGCTCATCGAATTTAATACGTTTCTTAGTAAGCCAATCCGCAATCTCGGTTTTTTTTCATTTAGTGCTTGACAACTGTTCTATACGCCTGCAGTGATATGGATCTGCATCCATTTCCTCATGATATTCTACAGTCTTCTTAGAAACAGATACATTTAAATCTCCTTCAACAAATCCTACCACTATGGCTAATAATAAGGCGATGTCCTTTGCTTTTCACATTTAGATATTGCCATATTTTTGTCACAGTATGTCCTTCATTTAACCGTATTTCATCTGTATATGTTTTTTTTCCATCGCTTCAAAATTCTGTTATTTGTTTCAGATACTTTCTGCTCCATAAAATAATTTATTATTTTTCAATAGGATTACTGTTCCTATTCCTCTTTCTTTTGAAATACCTCCTTCTTCTTCGCGTGCCATCTCCTCTAAGAAGGTTGGCAACCATCATGGCAATTCGCACTTTCGACGCCGCTGCTCTAAAGAGGTCAGCAGAAGTGCAGTTAAACCAAGTTCTCAAATTATTCAACCAGGAGATGCGTCTTCTTCCGCGACTCCTTCTACCCTGTATTCTTCCCTGCATTATTAATTCAATAAGTTATAAGGCTGCCCTCATAACATGTCCCAGATATTGCAGTTTTCTGACTTTAACTGACCTTATTTCACGTAAAGTACGTAACAAAACACGTCTTGATATTTTTGGAATATTTTTTTTATAGAGAAGAAGCATTTTTTATTGTTGGTAATTCCTTTTTAAAAATCATATACTGGTTTGTTTCATGTTCATGTAATGGTCTCTTTGGTTGTAGTATCCAATTTATTTGTTCCTTCCTCTTGTCTCAACCTTCGAAGGATTATTATCCAAAATACTACATAATGTAACTACATCGCTTACATTCATATGTTATTCTCTGGCTCGAAGTCCTTCAAATACATTTCCCATCATAGTTTTTTCTTCGCGTGTTAAATTGTAACGTTTCTTTTTGATACACGGTTCACTATACTACTGTCAGTCATATTAATTATTTGTCACCAAATTGAATTAAACTAAATTACTCACAATTCACAAAAAGTAAACGTAAAAGCTCATTCACTAGTAATAATACTTCTGTTCAACAATTCTGTTCTTTGCTTTATGAAACCCCTGTCAGTTCACTTATGAAACCGACGTACAGATAACAGACAATAAAATTGCTACCCGAACAATAGCGTTGTTGCCAGTTACATCGCTGTAGATGAAAACTTTCTCTTTTTGTCGGAATGAAAATATATTTTTTGTAGGGTAAACGTCCAATTTTACTGACATACAAAAAATAATTAAACATGAGTCACTTTCTACAATTGTGATACTTGATTGTAGTTACATAAGATGATAAATTTTGTTCGCTTAATCTTCGACGTACGTGTCAGGTGAAACTATGGTACCATGAAATCTACCAATTTCTAAGGGCAAAACTGCAGCAGTAACTGTCCGCTTTTGAAGCACTTGAAGTCTAAGAAACCGATCTTTCATGGCGTTTGTTGACCTTGGTCTTTCCTGTGCTTTCCTTGGCCTTTCTTGTACTTTCCTTGGCCTTTCCTTGGTCTTCTTGAGTTAGAACCAGTTTCTCGAAATCTTTGTAAAACATCGTATATTGTGCTTCGCAGAATGCGAAGCATAATAGAATCTGTGATATATCGAATTGAACGCTCATCATTATGAGGGGCAAGTGCTTGAAATTGGACTTACTACAAATTATTCTAAAAAATATAAAATAATATATAAAATAAAACTATTTTTAACTGAAATTTTGGTTAATTCGCATTAAAGATAGTAAACAATCTAAAAGGCCACAAGAAAATAGCTTCCGAACAGAATTTGCGATATCTACATGATGCATATACAGATTGTCAACTTATTCCTTGTATCTTGCCACAAAAAAATTTATTGTCCCATTAAATCCTGCATAAGTTTATAACACATTTTCCTTAACCTAGTCAAATAGGTGTCGATCAATACGTCACCGAAGGTGAACTATACAAACCCTACGGGCTATGGATTCTCTACAATATTGTGCCTGTCTTGATAGGCTCGATTTTGGTAGCCTACGGAGAACCCATAGCTGCTGGCAGTGGGATACCACAAGTGAAGTGCTACCTGAACGGTGTGATGGTGCCTAGAGTGGTAAGGGTGAAGACTTTAGTGGTAAAAAGTATCGGCGTTATATGTTCTGTCGTTGGAGGACTAGCTGGAGGAAAGGTAAGTTGTTTGTTTACAATATTATAAAGTTTATTTGCAAAAAAACACTGTGATTTTATTTCTTCTAAATGTTTCGAAGTCATCCTTTCGTTCTTTGTTTGCTTGTATTTATTTGAACTCAGCCCATTTCTTTTCTTTGTTTTATTGTATATAATATTATCTTTCCCTTCTGTGTGCATTGCCATATGATATTTTTGTTCTATATAAAATTTTTTAAGTGTTTCCTTAAATCTATCAGTTTGAGTTGATGCAGTAGCTGTACTTGTTCTTGTTCGGAATGTTAGGTAATTGTACATCTTTCTTGATCTTCTGAACACAATTTTTTTCTTAGCCTTTACAGTTTCTTATTATTTACTCAGTGTCGAGTGACCGTCAAGAATCTAGAGAACTGTTTGCCAACGTAAAATTCTTAACTAAAAAGTAAGTCAAACCACAAATGCAGATAATTAAAGATAACTTGGGAACGATCATCACCAATCCAGAGGGCATAGCAGCGACATCGAAACAATATTGTGAAATGTTGTTTTATAGTGACAATGAAGACGTGAATCCAGAAGAAATAAATGACGAAAAGGAACCACATATTCTAAAATCGTAAATAGAAACCGCAATAAATAAATTAAAAACTGGAAAATCTCAAGGAGAAGACGGAATCATGGCGGAAGCACCTAAAGAAATGGGAGGCATAGAAATTGAAGTAATGTTCAAACTGTGTAATGAAATCTGGAACACAGGACAATGACCAGATGATTGGTGTAAGCTCACTTTCATACCCATTTATAAGAAAGGCTCACAAACTTACTGTAGTAACTATTGCACTTTAGTCCTGATCTCCCACGCAATAACGTTCTGCTAACTATATAATTAACGAGAGATTAAAATCAATACTTCTACCACAGATTCACAACGAAGCAGAACATATTTCTGCTTCGTCGACTACTCGGAAGGCGTTCGATAATGTAAAGTGGCATAAAATGTGGGGAATACTGAGAGAATGGGTACCCCAAACATCTAATATACCTACTGAAACAACTGTATATCAACAATACAGCAAACGTAAGAGCCAACAAATATACTCCAATAATTTTAAACTAAAAGCCGGTGTTCGTCAAGGATGTATTATCTCTCCTACGTTATCAAATATATATAGCGAACACATCATGCGCATTGTATTCGACGGATGGAAAGGAGGAATATCAGTCGGGGCCCGAAAAATCAGCAGTCTCCGCTATGCTGACGACACTTTAGTACTAGCTACACCATCTAACACTAACACTAACTGCTGACATCATCAACAAATGACCTTGAATACATTATGAAGAGACTAGATACTTTTAGTCGTGAATATGGACTTAAAATTAATGTACAGAAGACCAAGGTAATGATAATTGATCGAATTAGAAATAAACAGTCGAAAATACGAAACGTAGCGGATTTAAAGTGGTAAGCCGTTTCAATTACTTAGGTTCTGTTATCACAAACAATGGTGGATGCGAAGAAGAGATACGTCGACGCCTTACAATGGCCAGATCAGCAACGGTCAAACTTACTAAAATCTGGAAAGATACGGACATAACCATGAACGCGAAACTGCGCCTAGTATGGACGCTTCTATTTCCTATCGCTACCTATGCGTCAGAAACTTGGACCATTAAAAAGTCCGACTCACGACGTATAAGGGCCTTTGAAATGTGGGTATATGGTAGAATGATGCGCATACCCTAGACAGCACATCGCACAAATTTCTCAATATTGACAGAATTCGACATCAATACTAGGCTTACCACAATCATCAACCAAAATATATTGAGGTACTTTGGACACATCACCAGACGAATGGAAGGCAGGGAGAGGTTGGTGGTTGAAGGCAAGGTAGATGGTAAAAGAACTCGAGGAAGATCGCCACTCCGATGGTCAGACCAAATAAAGTGTGCTACCGGTTACTCTCTGTCTGAGGCAGCACACAGCGCCCAGGAGAGAGAAGAATGTGTAGCAACCACTTGTCAAATACCATAACGTCACCACATCCTTACGAAGGATAAAGGATAGAGGAGGAGGAGGTCGAGTGAGGACTGAGGCCTCAGTTCCGTTTGACGGTTATTGTATTTCTACAGAACACGATATTGATATGTAACGAGTGAGAGGAGTTAGCAGATTGAGACCCCGAACTCGAACGGAACCGTATCCCTCTTGATAATCGCTCCAATGGGTGACGAAACGTCGAGTAGTAAAAATTCTCAACGCCCTTCTTCCAGAGAACTTAGTAATTTTTATTTACCCGACTTTACCTGACCGCGAATTCCGAACATATATATATATATATATATATATATATATATATATATATATATATATATATATATATATATATATGTATATGTAATTGCTTTCTATTTAAGTCTTTCACTATGCGATCTATCTAATATATTTTAGGAAGGCCCAATGATCCATTCCGGTGCTGTGGTAGCTGCTGGTATCTCTCAGGGAAAAACGAGTACCTTTAATAAAGACTTCAAAGTCTTTAAATACTTTCGAGAGGACCACGAAAAAAGAGATTTCGTATCTGGCGGAGCAGCTGCTGGGGTATCAGCTGCCTTCGGAGCTCCAGTCGGTAAGATAAACTTATACTATCCAATTATTATATATAATCAAATGATTTCGCAAACGATGAAGTATGAATGTTTTCTTTTAGGTGGAGTATTATTTAGTTTGGAAGAAGGTACCAGTTTTTGGAACCAAAGTTTGACGTGGAGAACCTTCTTCGCATCGGTCGTTTCCACGTTTACCCTCAATGTGGTCCTTTCGGCCTACCATGGAGTGCCAGGCAATTTCAACTATCCGGGATTGTTAAATTTAGGAAAGTTTGAGGCGTTTAGTTACGAATATTATGAACTGCCTATCTTTTTGATCATGGGCTCCATGGGTGGCTTATTCGGGGCCTTATGGAATCATATCAACTATAAAATTACTGTTTTTAGAATGAGGTAAGATAAATTTTATTGTATATTAAATCTATGGATGACTTAATGTGACACTTGTAGTATTCTGTAGTTTTTTTTCTTTAAAAGCTTCCAGTATATTAATTTTAAGGTTCTTAATGTCCATATTACTACTGCGAACAGCAAAATTACAGTTTAACGAATATCTCTACTGTGTTTAATATGGATTTTTATCCTTCTGAGAATCTTTAAAATCATTTATTTGCGACTCCTTACTAATACATATTGTTCTGTTACAGATATATTCGTCCTAGATGGTTAAAAGTCATCGAAGCTTGCATTGTGGCTGCTGTTAGTGCTACTGTCGGATTTTTAATGATGTTCACGATAAACGACTGCAAACCTTTGGGATCGGATCCCACGAAATATCCCACACAGGTAATTTTTGTTTACTTAATACATTTGGCGACATAAATTGAGATAAATGTTGAATCCACGGATTTTTATTTTATTTTATTATTCTGGCACTTGGAGACAATTTAGGAAAGAATGGGAGTATTTTATAAATTTTTATCTCAGTTATTAGATTAAGCATTTTGAATTTTAAAGTTTTAAAAGCAGATTCCTATTTTGTGGCCTATAAAATATAAGATTCTTTTTTTTAAGAAATTTAGGATAATTTAAATCGTTTTTACCATCATATTCGGTAATTGTTAATTTTGACATTTTGACGTCATATACCCAAATATAAATACTAACGGCGGTAAAAATACTAACATACAGTGAAAACCAAAAAAAGTTGCGTTCGCGTTATGATTGTGAACATTTGCAGCGTTGGCAGATGGTTCATGAAGTATGAAAATTTACAGAAAAGAACTGAAGTTACTGAAGAACAAAAAAGGCGAAGGTAGCAAATTTCACATTATATTAAATGGAATTTGAAAATAAGTGTTTTTTGTTTATTTGTTTTTTGTTAATTACATTCATTAATAGATTTCACAAAGTAAGGAATTCCACAATAAAAGTGGTAAGGTTATTACTGAGTTACCAAACAATAAATATGATCAAAATAAAACCACAAGCAATAAAATAAAATATTTTTTAATATTGAACGTATTTTCAAAGACAAAACATGACATTAAAAAACAACATTAAATAACTAAACATTTTCTGAATCTGATTCCACAGTAGTGTCACTCTCTCCACTATTAACATTTATTACTATTGGACTAATTTCTTGACGATCGAATATTCTCTCTTTCTCTCTCTCATACCATTTAAATATTTCTCTTTTAAAAAGAAAAAGACAGTCAAGATTTGATTTCACGTACAATGCGTCTGTGTATCTGCTTATACGTATTTCGCCCTAATAGGGCTCATCACAACAGCTATTCACAGGCGTTCTGAACGTGAAAATAAATCTTTTCTGTCTTAAGAAGCAACTCTAACATGGCTTCGTATAGACGCAAATAGAGACATCTGATATTAGAATCCGTAAACTAATTTTCGAAACCAAATTCAGATTTTTGCTTGAATCTGTGCCTTCTAAGAATTGCAAGGCAAAACAGACGTTGATAAAGATGTTAATAGAGACATGGGGAATCTAAAATTTGTGTTCCACGACATATATCCTCAACCCACTAAGCAAAAATCCTTAGCGAATTTTTTTCTTGTACTCATACAGAATAAAATAACTCAATAAAATAACTACTACTACTACTATCGGTTTACAGCGTTCTCCGACGCCTTCCAACTCCTAACCGCCATTCTTCTCTATTCAACCATAGGCCTAGAGGGATTTCTCTTTCCTCTAGTTCTTTCTCAATTCCCTCTCTCCAGCTTCTTCTCGGTCTTCCTCTTTTCCTTCTCCCTTGTGGTGTCCACGTCAAAATCTGTTTTGGAATCCTGTTATCTGGCATTCTCGGTACATGGCCGTACCATATTAACTGTTTTGTTTTTATGTCATCAACTATTGTATGCTTGATTCCCATCATTTCTCGTATTCTCTCATTTGGTATTCGATCTCTTCTTGATTTGCCTGCTGCTCTTCTCCAGAACTCCATTTCTGTTTGTTTCATTGGCCAAACTTCACTGCCATATGTGATTACACTTTTAAGTATGGTGTTGTAAATGAATTGTTTGTTCGCTTTAGATATTGTTTGGTCCCACAGAATGCCGTTCATCATCGATATGGCTTTTCTACCCTGTATGTTTCTGTCTTTTATAGCAGCATCGAGTGTTCCATCTTGAGTTATCTTCATACCCAAGTACTTGTATTCATGACAGTTTCTAATTTGTACCCATCGTCTAATATAATGGACTGTTTTGTCCCTTCAATACACATGGCCTCAGTTTTCTTAATGTTGACTACGAGACCCCATTTGTTATATCTTCTATTAAAATCCACAAGGAAAAATTCCTGTAGCTGGCTGTATACCACGTATAACAAAAAGAGGTTAATCTTTGTAAATGGGTATATTTATTTAAAAAACCCTTAAAAGGGCCACATCAATAAAACAAACGTTTTCGGACCACACAGTCCATCATCAGGTTTTTAAAATCGAAAAATGCCTAAAAATAAGTATAAACCATTTAGTTAAAACAAACGAGATTGTGAAATTTTGACTATGGTTGAAAAGCAAAAGATGGTTATACTTACTAGGTCACAATGCCTGAGCCACCAAAATACTAGGGTAAAAACCCTTTAAATTACATTTTGTTATGAAAGATTGTACATTGTGTTGTAAAATAACTGTGATGTTCAGTATTAAATTAAATTTGACTAAGGTAACACATGGCTCAATCGGGTTCCAGAGCCGGTGAGAGAGAACCTCTGCACTCGGAGAACAGCTGGGAACTGATTGACAAGATACTTTTGAAGGTGAAAATAACAGAATGTCAATGCAACAAAAACTATAATAGTTGTACATAGTATTACTACAGCCAAAAGATTCAACAAGTTTTGATGATTTTAAAAAAATAACAACAATCTAGGTGTTGGGATTTAAAAACTTTTTTTTTATTTATTAATTTAGGGTATAAAAGATGTGAAATCAATGATGGTTTTATAGTCATGATTAATAGAATGACCTGTGCCTTAGGCAACTTATGTTGCTTTTCGTCGTATGGAATGTGGTCTAAAGTGTATTTAATGTTGGGTTAGCTTAAATATATGAAATTTATCCTTTTATGTTTAACACATCTAGGACAAGGTAAAAATTAAATAACAAATATTTGAAGCTAATATCAGACCTCATATTTAAATGACTTTATTTAAGACTGCTCCTATGGTGAAAAATTAATAAAATTAAGTTTAGTAAGATGGAAATCTACAGGCTGAAGAAATTAAAGTAGTAACCTATGTGATTGAATTTAAAATTGAAGAGGCTGGATTTATTCTCATTAGTCTCTGAGGAACCCCTAAGGCACAGGTCATTCTATTAATCATGACTATAAAACCATCATTGATTTCACATCTTTTATACCCTAAATTAATAAATAAAAAAAAGTTTTTAAATCCCAACACCTAAATTGTTGTTATTTTTTTAAAATCATCAAAACTTGTTGAATCTTTTGGCTGTAGTAATACTATGTACAACTATTATAGTTTTTGTTGCATTGACATTCTGTTATCTTCACCCTTCAAAAGTATCTTGTCAATCAGTTCCCAGCTGTTCTCCGAGTGCAGAGGTTCTCTCTCACCGGCTCTGGAACCCGATTGAGCCATGTGATACCTTTAGTCAAATTTAATTTAATACTGAACATCACAGTTATTTTACAACACAATGTACAATCTTTCATAACAAAATGTAATTTAAAGGGTTTTTACCCTAGTATTTTGGTGGCTCAGGCATTGTGACCTAGTAAGTATAACCATCTTTTGCTTTTCAACCATAGTCAAAATTTCACAATCTCGTTTGTTTTAACTAAATGGTTTATACTTATTTTTAGGCATTTTTCGATTTTAAAAACCTGATGATGGACGGTGTGGTCCGAAAACGTTTGTTTTACTGATATATACCCAGTTACAAAGATTAACCTCTTTTTTTTTTTTATTTCTTCTATTAGCATCCGAGTCAAGTAACTCAAGTCGTCATGATCCTGGGCAATCAGTATTTGGTCATCAGCGAAACATAAGGTCTATAGTGTAGTCTCGTCATTGAGAGGGATTTCCATGCCATTACATTTTCTTTTCCATAGCTTGAGTGCTTGTTCCAGATAAATTTTGAAAAGGGTAGGCGAAATACAGCAACCCTGCTTTAGATCCAGTTTTAATTTTTGCAGTCGTTCCATTATACAGACTTTGGACTGCTTTGACGAGACCATGCTTAATGTTGGTTTGCTGTAGGGTTGCTGTAGGTTGCTGTATAAAACCTACAGCAATAAAATATCTCATATCCGAATAAAAAGACAAAGACAGTCAAGATTTGATTTCACGTACAATGCGTCTGTGTATCTGCTTATACGCTATTATTTCTCTTTCAGTGTGATTGATAGAATTTTTTCCACATATCAGGAGTAATCATGTAAAGTGCCTCATGCCACTGTTACCATCTATTAGCGCTGTTACCATCTCTACTAATGTGCCTATTATAATAATTTTTTGCTATGCTCCAAATTAATTCAGTAGGGTTAATATACAATGGTAAGGAGGAAGACGTAAAACTTTGTGTCCATACCGTTCTGCTATATCGTCCACTATATACTTGGTTTGTGGTTTATTTCTAAAAAATGTTTAAAATAAATGACATTTATATGTAATATTATATCTGTATATTTACTGAGAAATGATGCGTAACAGTTCTGTTTTGAACATCATATGGAAATAGGGAATGTTTTTTCTGTTAACCACTCCTCAATATCACTTTTTGACCATCCTGTATTCGAAGTTTTATGCAATAGCATAAGGTGCATTATCAAGTACAATTGGAGAAGCATTCTCTAAGTTTTGCAGCAACTGATATTCAAACCATTTAAAGAAATTTGCCTGGTTCATTCCCCATGATAATTACCAAGTTGAGTTTTTGAACAAAATATTGCTTCAGCACTCTCTATAAATCCGATTTCATTTCCAGCATCTAGTATAATATATTTGCAATGATATTATTTAAATGTTCATATAACAAGTTATGCTAATACAACAAAACTTTTGCCATGCGTTTTAGTGGTGTTAACACTCTTTACATTTTCATTTTGCCAAGAATGACCAATGATTCCATTTTGAAATATCCAAGTTTCATCGAGAAACACGATTTGGTATATACCTTCATCCTTTACTTCTTTAAAGTTCTTAAGAATTGTACTCTTCTTCAAACAACGTTAGGCAATTCCATAAGTCCTCTTCGTGGATTATCCTTCATCCACTCAAACTCAAGTTCTTTGAGCAATCTTTTTAAAGACGTGGTACTATCATTCAATAATTATTTATCTTTTAGTTGGGACCACAATGATTGAACCGTTACGTGCTATTCTAAAAGCATACGGAAATAAAATTATGTTAAGTGTATATTTGTTATAATCATACTTACTTATCTGGTACATATTGTAAATGGTATCACGAATATACCTTGTATTTAAAGTTGTGGTATTTGTTACTCGTTTATTGGTGCAACTCTTTTTCTTTGATGACTCGAACTGTTCACCTTTTTTCTGCATTTGACATATGCTGCTTACTGTTCTTACACTGATTTTTAAAGCAGTAAAAGCAGCAGTTTCAAGTAATGATATTTTATTCGCATATTACCTCTGGCTAAGGGTTAAAGGGTTATATGGATAGATAGACTGAGCAGTCTGTAGAGCCAAGTGACGACACGATCTGTTTTTTTTTCCGTTGTTTGTTGTGTCTCTGTCTTAAGTAAAGTAGTGCGCGCGAAAGAGAGAGAAAGAGAATTGACGCCTCGAAAAACATAAAAAATATTTTATTTTAAAGAAAATTTGTTTCTCAGTAATGTTCAATATCAAGTAATAACGAGATTTAATTTTGAATATAGTACGAGTATATTTTAATATCGTTGAAGTGTCATATTGGATAAGTTATTGTTAGCTTTTAAATTTTGACATCAAATTAGTCTGTAGCGGTTGAAAGAACGTAAAGTTTTGTTATTTTTAAATAAATAGTATTTTTGATATTATTCCTCTGCTATATCGAATTTGATACCTTGAATTTTGAGATTTTTGTAGTAAAATTATATGCAGCGATTTAAATAACAAAAATAAAATAATCTTAAGAACATTATTATTTTTAATACATTTTAATTGTCACACTGGATCCGATATTGTGAATTGTGACACTTGACATTGACAGCGACATAAAACATACGATTTTCATGAAAATTAAAGTATTCTTGGTCCATCATTTTGAATTTTGACGGTGGATACGTGTTCAGCGCCTTAATAAATATACAGAATACTTTCTTTTGATAAAAAATTTGGGATTTTTAATGTTTTATTGTTGACTTTGATCTACCAGTATAAATTTACTATTTTTATTGGGAATGAATTACAATTTTAATTTAAAATAGGTTCAATTTGACGTTTCAATTTCCTGTTAGTAAATCGTTCTCAAAATACAAATTTGTAAGCGTAAGAAAAATAAAACACTATTTTGATGAATGTACATTCGGCACTGCAAAAACCACAAAAATATTTTAGTTTGAAGAAAATTTGGGATTTTTTATATGTTTTTAATATTGCCAACACGGATCTACCAGTATAAATATTGATATTTTGACAGCTTATTGGTATTCGGTGATTTAAAAAAGATAAAATATACGATTATGAGAAATATTATGGCACTCTTGGTACAAAATTTTAAATTTTGGCCGCTAATTTGTCTTTGGCTCCTCAACAAACATAAAAAATATAATATAAATATACTTCGTGTAAACTTTAAGTTTTAGCTTTAAGAAATATGAAAGAAGTAGAAGGAATGATTCCCGCCAAGCGATAGAATTAGAAGTTAGCTTGGCTCTTTATGTAGAAGCTTAGATCGTACTCAGTTTTGTATTTTACAATTTAATAATGTACCAAATGCTAATTTAGAGTCATATTTGTTTTCTGCTCCTCGGTCACAACAGTATCCAGTAACCCAACATGCATATTGAGTCACTAGATACTGCTTATATTGATTATAATGCTTTATTTTTGTCTATATAACGGCATTTACCGAATTTTTGGAGCGTTTTACCGATCAATTTTAAAATTACAGCATCAAATTCTTATTCAGTGATAAAAAAAACAAAACTTATTTTTTACGTGTTCAATCACAAATTAATTCCTTAATTTGCAATCTCACATTATTCTTAACTTCTTAACCTTTTATAGGTTTACCGTGTATTATTGAAACATTATGAAAACATATCGTGTAATATTTTAATAATTAGTCCATTTACCTACAACTTAATAACTTGCCGAATAATATATTTTCCAATTGAACTTCCTAAGTGTTGCAATTACGGCCTAGATTAAATTTTATTGTAAGCTCATAGTTCAAAGTTGGTTAGTATGACAGAAGCATTAACCTCTGTTCCGAGGTATACATTATTTGTGAAATTATAAATTGGGGATTTGAGCGCAGTCTATTATAGAAAGTTACCTACCCAACAACTAGAGTGTAATTATTGGTAGCTGTCAATAAAACTATAATTTTTACACAACAACTTCAACGTTTTTTTTGTATTTACCATCGTCGATCGAGAAGAATCGGACAAAGGGGCATTACAAAACGATTCGGACCTTATAACTACATTCGAGTCTGTCCATTACGAGTATTTTTAATATTGCTATATTTAATTTTATTCCCTAAGATCTTGTGGTAATACTTACGAAAATTTTACCCACTAAGTATTTAAACTACTGTAAAGTCTTTATTAATTCTAATTTATTGTTCTTATTTTAATTTACTAAAGGTTCAATCTTTATAACACTCACAAATTTATCAAAGTCTTTATTACTACTAATTTATTTTACACTTAATAATTTATCTACGTGCGATACAATTTTAAAGCGATCACGATATCTTCTTTTGACTAATTCCTCTCCTCAATAAAAATCCCGTTATTATATATAAAATGCCGTTATCTAGAAGGGTCTGGCGAAGAATCGATGACCTTCCATCCATTAGGTGACTCATGGACTGGTCTCGAAGAAGGCTCTAGTAATTTCTATCGGCAGGTAAACAGGTCTGAGCGCCGAAATTACTAGAAATAGAAAATAATTAGGCATAATATATTTACAGTTTTATACGCCATAATATTTATTATCGTAACACTACAATGCCTGGAGATACAAAAAGATGCGCTAGACGGAAACTATGTTGTCAGGTGACATAGATGCCGTTAGTGAAGTTGGTTTTTACAAGCATCCAGTCATTCTCCGATGTAAGACTTCTTTGTTTTTTTGTAGATGGATTAATATTGTTTTTAATTTGTGATATTTTGTTTTAGCTATACTGTCTAGATGGTCAATACAACGTCCTGGCTAGTATTTGGTTCCAAACACCGGAGGCATCCGTTCGGTCTTTATTCCACGATCCGCCAAATACACATAATGCAATTTCGCTAGCCTCATTTGTAATCGTATACTTTTTTCTCGCCTGCTGGACGTTCGGGTTGTCTACTTCCAACGGGCTCTTTATTCCGACCCTACTTACTGGAGCAGCATGGGGGAGGTTGGTTTCTATTGGAATCTTCTATGTATTTCCGAAAGTAGTAAGTACTTTTTTAATTTTTACATAAACTGCAAGAAACTTAGTTTTTATTAAGATTAGACCCACAAAAATTAGAATATTCAAGGTTATAACTACACAAGTATTTTTTGTGTTTAGGACATCATTCATCCAGGAAAATATGCCTTAATCGGCGCCGCAGCTCAATTGGGCGGAGTGGTGCGAATGACTATCAGCTTGACTGTGATAATAATGGAGACCACCGGAAATATTTCTTTTGCTCTTCCACTTATTATCACTCTCATTGCTGCTAAATGGACAGGGGATTTTTTCAATGAGGTACGTACATATTTTTGTATCTTTCAATGTGATATAGAATCTTCAGAAGGTCAAAACATAAAATACTACGTACCGTTCGCGTCATAAAAAACGGGTACAACTTATAACCAAAAATCGTGTTTTTTAAGTTTTCTACGTTGATCTTGTCGCATATGTCATTTTAATTTCTACTGCACTATTGCCAGTTCAACGAAAATATTACATGAAACCAGCTAAAAGCAGGGCTGTGCGACAGATCTCCAGTTTTGAGTATACTAAAAACTAAAACATTATCAAGCATTCTCGAACAGTCAGTCACATTAAATTTGTTTAAACATGCATCCTAAAAAATTCTCATATTAATTTTGTAATTTTTGATCATCTCAAGTAGGTACCCATATATTGATTTGTGTTTTATTATAATTTAGAAAAATATTTCAACTCAAAAATAATGATAGATACTCAATCTAGACATAACTTTAAATTATAATTAAATTATTTAAATAATAAAACATTACAGTGAGATATTGGATTGTAACTGTCACGTTTTGAATAACGTTTTTTCGCCCTGATTTTTTATAGTTCTTAATACGTAGGGTAAAGTATAATGTTAGTTTTTCACAATGATCGTTCTTGTAATAAATAATAAATTAATATTGGTAGTTTGCTTGCTACTAAACTTATTGACACAAAATACAGGTCGTGTTTGGTAGGTAATTGAAGTATAAAATTACAGTATATGCATTCCAATGTTCCCTGTGTCAATACGCTAACCTATCTAAAAACTTTATACATTTTTGTACTTTACTTTTTTATTTAGATTTAGTGCAATACCGTTATATGTGATGGCAACAACGAATTGATTCACGAACCATTGTGTCCAGTCTTGACACAGGTTTACATTGGGAAAAAAAGTGTACCAGTTTTATATGACGAGAAGTGTACATAATTTTCTTTAAAGTTAATATTTCCACTTTTACTAATATGGTTTAGAAGCATGGGCCATAATAGAACATCTACTGAAAACATTATTTTTTTCAGTTTTTCAGTTAATTTAACAAAATAATACGTAATTTTTTCATTATCAAAGAAAAACCCAAATTGTGTCTTTCGGCTTTTTATACATTCCCGAAAAAACAATACGCTACTGACAAACTTAAAACTTGTAGGTATATGCATTCCAGTTAACACTTCTATAACTTTTGTTTTATTTTTGTTTCATGTCCATGGACGTATTTCATGTCATTCTGTTGTAAAATATATTGAAATCATATTATTATTTGTGATTCTCGATTCGAAGCAGACATTTTTGTTCAGATTAACATGAAACATTTGTGTGCCTATTCTATAATAATTTCACATACTACCTTATTCATTTTGTAATAAATTTATCTAGTTATAGCAGGATTGACTTTGATTGACATTGTTATTTAAATTTTATTACGTTACTGACAAATGACTTCTGTATATGTTACAAAAGTATCAAAAAGGGCTTACATGACAATATGTTTTATATGATGTTATTTTCTTTGTAATGTACACAAATTTTAAACAGTAATTGTATTTTAACTTTCTTGTGTGAAAGTGGGACTAATCACCTAAAAGAAGAAATAATTATTCCAAGCTCTGCTCTAATTATTTTTTTTGGATGGCATTACTACAATCGCATGCATAATTGCATAATTACATTCACGTAACTGCCAAAAAATTATTTACACAAAGAAGTTCTTGCTCTGGTGCAAAAATTTAACCAAAACTTTACAATTTGTTGAAAAAAATTTTAATGATGTATTTAACAAGAATTGTCCAGTCCGTACATGTTATTATGTACGATACTGATGGGAAATTCTTTGCGATACTGTTGGGAAATAATATTTGTAACAATAATACGTGTCGTAAGTTTAGTTTTTAACAATTTTCTGGCAGTAATAACCAGAAAAAAAAATTATTGGATTGGATAAGGCCAAATAAAGTTTAGTAAGGTAATTTTATAGGGATCAAATAAATTGGTGGAATGGTCACAAATAAAGCATCATTAGTCTACACGTCTAACACACGTTTAAATGTCAATTTTGTTTTCAGGGAATTTACGACATACTGATCCAACTGTGGGGCATTCCCCTTCTACCGTGGGAACCCCCGCCACTCGTTCATAATATATACGCCAGCGAAGTTATGTCACATCCAGTAGTAACATTAAAATGCGTCGAGAATGTTGGACACGTCGTCGAATTGTTAAAATTAACCACTTATAACGGGTTTCCTGTTGTGGATCCACCTCTAACAGACCAGGTAAGAGATCATGTAGTCTTATATAAAACTAGGTGGTTAATCTTTGCAATAGAACTACTTCGTTGTATATATTAACCAAATGCCAGACAATATACATTATTCATCAATCAGCCAATCGCGTCCACTGCTGGACATAGGCCTCCCTCAGTTCTTTCCAGTGTTCTCTACACTGGGCCGCTTGTAGCCAATTTCCCGCTACACGTTTTATATCATCGGTCCATCTAGTCGGTGGTCGTCCTCGGCTTCTTTTATAGTTTCTGGGCCTCCATTCCATAATACGTCTTGTCCACCGTCCATCTTGTGTTCTGGCTAAGTGCCCTGTCCAGTTCCACTTAAACGTCGTGGTTCTTTCGATGAAGTCTTGAACTCCTGATCTTTACCTGATTTGTTGGTTTGTTATGTGGTCTCGAAGGCTCACGTTCAGCATTGCACGTTCCATTGCTCGTTGTGTAACTCGCACAGTTTATTCGCAGTTTTTTGCGTGAGTGTTAAAGTCTCTGCTCCATAAGTTTGTACAGGCAAAACACATTGGTTATAAACCTTTCGCTTGAGACACATGGGAATTGAACTTTTTAGAATATGGCTTAATTTGCCAAATGCTGCCCATGTCAGGCCTATTCGCCTCTGTATTTCATGTGTTTGATTGTCTCTGCTTATTTTGATCTCGTGTTCCAGATATTTGTAAGTATCTGTTTGTTGTATGGTATTATTGTCAATAATTATCTTTCCACTCATTACGAGATTTGTCATAAGTTTAGTTTTCTCAAAGTTTATCTTTAATCCTGCTCTTTCAGACAGACTTTTAAGCGAATATATCATAGAAAATGTTTCCTGTACGTTATCTGCGATTAATACATTATCTGCAAACCTTAGATGATTTAATCTTTCTTCATCTATATCGATGCCCATATCTTCCATTGAGTGTTCTTAAATATTGACTCTAGAGCTACCGTGAACAATTTTGGTGAAATATTGTCTCCTTGTCTAACTCCTCGACCTAAGCTGAATTTTTCTGTGTCTTCGTGTAGTCGTATACTTGATGTAGTGTTCTCGTAGATGTTTTTGATTAGTGTCGTGTACCTGTAACCTATTCGGCACTTCTTGTTCGTCCTTTTTCCTTTCCATTCTGTTTAATCTTTATAGTGGAATATGTTGCCTCATTTTAGTTTGACCTGATCTTCACATGTTTGAGTTCTTCCTCCAGTTCCGTCATTTTTTCATCCTTAGATAAGGTTCCTACATTATACCTAATAATGTGCAGCGTTCGTCGTTCTTGGTAGCCTCCTACAACCAGGTGATTCTTCGCACCCTCTGTCCGCTGTCCGCGAGTCCTACCGCTACATTGGTTGGGAACTAGCGAGCTGCCGGTGACTGAGGGCCGTTTTATTGAATGTCTGTTCATGTCTGCGCTTGCCAGGCGGGTTGATGAGTTGGTTTGGGTAATTGGTAGGATAGTAGGTATTGGGTAGGAATGGGGTTCAGACATGATTTCTCTCCACAGGAGTTGGTAGAGAATTAAGGCTCGCGTAGGGCAGGGTCGCATCCCTGAAGTAAGTCTATCCTCCACTGGGATTGTGGAAGAGTACTTACCTGCTACCCGTTTTTTGCGCAAAAACAGGAGGAGCCCAAACATATTTGGCGCTTCTCCTGTTTTTGCTAAGATATATTTTAATTTCCTAAAGAATTTCTCGTACTGATACAAAAATGTACTGAAAATCTTCAAAACTTGTTCCTTCTGCAAGTAAATATCTTTTTTAGAACGAAGTAACCACCTACGGACGTATAAGAGGGATAATTCTCAGGTCGCAGTTGGTGGTGATCTTGCAGAAGAAAATTTTTAACGAAACAGTTGATGTTTGGTACAATATTAACCCGTCCTTGTTTCGAGATTCTTATCCGAGGTACCCAACCATAGAGGTAAGTTTGTTTTATATAAATTCAGTCGTCTAAAAAATATAAAAACTAACATTGTGAGGAACAACTTACGTTTTACGAGCATTTTTCATATTGGTATATTTAATTTTATTACCTAAAATCGTGTGGTCATATTTTCGAACATTTCTTCCACTAAGCGTCCAAACTATAATGCCTGGGAATAGAAGAATGATGCCAAACGGAAGTTATGACGTCAGGTGATATAGAGGGCGTTAGTGAAGTTGATTTGTGCAAGCATCTATAGCGTTCTTTTAAATCTGGTAATAAAGGTGATATTAAGCAATGTAAAACACACAAGAAATAATAATTGGATCAAAGACAAAATGTTATAAAGTTAGTTAATAAATAAATGTGAGTGATTTTGTACAACAAATTAATAAAAACTTGATATGACGTGTTGCGAAATAAATTTAAAGAACAAATTTAACATTTTTTTTTGTTACGCGTTAATGTTTTCCACTCTTTGTTTTCTTTTTCTTCGTTTTCTTCCTCTGTTAATATTTGCTTTTCTTGTAATCAACAGTTTTGGGATTCTATCAATCTTTTTCCTAGCGATATTTTCCAGCGATTTTGACAATAGTTTGTATTGCTGGTTGTCAATAAATTTCAATAACTTCGTTATTTGTTCTAATTGGCCACACATCTTCCATTTCCCGTCGAAAATCCTTCTATTTTTATACAGACTTTAGTCCTACTGTGGCGACTTGACAAACATTAGGCTTAAGGTTTAGTTTGTGTTTATTTGCTCTTTGTAAAAAACCTAACCTGACATAACCTAAAAATATACGAATGTTTTCGATAGTGAATATTCTTTGCCTGCTTCCGAGATTAATTCATTATGATACTTTTCTCTGCAGTTGTTTCTATATATTTGAAATCTTTTGATTCTTATGATTGTTTATGCGGTTGAATTTTACTTTACATTAATTTTGACATTTGTTTTGCGTTATATATAATTATAATGCTCTAAGTGCAAATATATAAGGTTTAATTTTTGTTTTATAATAGCCTTTTGCAGAAATTTTAGAATATTTCACAATTTACACTCCTAGGCTAAGCTATTCATCTCTTCTTCAGCTCGAGCTCGATTATCGAGCGTTGGCTATCAAATTGGCTATAGTAATTTTGTTGACGGCAGTTTGGAAAAGAGATGCAGAGGATCTGTTAAACCAATCTCTCAGGTTTCTAAGCCATGACGTTCTTCGACCTGGCCCTCTTCTTCCGTCTACCTTGCCTTGTATTATTAAATGGAGTATATTGTATATCTCTGGATTGTATATCTCTGGCAACTGAAGTTGGCACTCATTTTGACAGACTTTGATTTTTTTTTTACATTTTTTAGTAAATATATAACTTCTTCTTCTTTTTGATGGGCCTATTCGTTACGAATGTTGGCGATCATCATCTCAATCCCTATCGATTTGCAGCAGCGCGGAAAAGCTGCACAGATGTTGTATTGAACCAGATTCTGAGGTTCTTTAACCAAGATGTTATTCTTCTTCCTGGACCTTGCTTTCCAAATATTTTTCCTTGCAGAATTGCTTGAAGGAGGGCATATCTCCATTCATGATATGCCCGAAGAATTGTAACTTTTGAGATTTAATGGTGGTCAGTACCTCTCGGTTCTTATTCATTTTTCTGAGGACCTCCTGATTTGTGACTCGGTCAGTCCACGGGATCTTAAGGATTCTCCGATATAGCTACATCTCAAATGCTTCCAGTTTTCTGCACATATCTTCGTTTAAGTTCCACGATTCAACACCATAAAAAAGGACACAGAAGACGTAGCATCGCAGCATTCTTACTTTTGTATCAAGAGATTTTGTATCAAATATGTAAAACTCTTTGTAATAAAATCTGTAAAAAGGTTTCAACTTTAAAACTTTTTTAGTTCTGAGCACTATGAGTTAATTAAATTACAAATATTTGTGGCCACTCTTTGACTGCCAACCTATTATAAATGTATTCTCTTTATTTTAAATATATGTAAATGTGTGAGTTTAATTAACTTAGACTATTAACAAACGTACCAAATAAGAGCGAAACACTTACATGTACTTATTTACAGTAATTTTTATTGTTTTAATTTATATTTTTATAAACTGTTTGTTCTCTTAGGATTTACAACTAAGTGACGAAGAAAAAACGTGTTCGATGGATCTAAGGCCGTTTATGAACCCATCTCCTTACACAGTTTTACACGTAAGTTTTAATCTGTTGCAAAAACTCACTATTTTTTATATAAAAATGTTTTTGTTAGTCTTCCTCGTTACCAAGGATGTTCAGGCTGTTTAGAGGTCTTGGACTGCGCCATTTGCCAATCGTCAACGATACAAATGAGGTAAGTCTCTTTTTATTAATATATTGTGCTTTATTTAGCTTTTTCATCTGATTTTATGTCGTTTAGATAATTATTTTAAATTTTTTATTAAGTTTAAAAGTGTATTGACAACGAAGAAGATTCTACATCACTGAATAGGTACTTAAAACATTTGTGAAGCTTCAGCTGCATTAAGTATATTCAGTCACATATAATTAACTTCCATAATGTATGAAGCCGGGCCTGTTCTCTCTCATACGATGACATTTTATACACTAATACAAGAAAAATTACCTTAATAAATGGTATAAATGGAATAAATGAACTGCACGATGCAACGTTTAGGGTTGAACTAAAAAATACAATTCAAGGTCACGCTACCGTTTTAGACAAGATACGATAAGTCTATAGAAAATGTCACACCGAGAGTTTTCACGCCTTGTGCTTGGCGATACAAACAGGTCCAAGTGGTAGTCACAGAACCGTACCCAGATCTCTACGCCGGGCTCTGTTATTTATTATAAAATAATATATTGATAAAATAATTGCCTTCAAGTAGCCAAATAAGAGGCTATTTTAATAAAAAAACCTTAAGTTTTTAGCGAGAATTTTATTATAAAACTGTATATTTTATTAAACTAACAATTGTATTTTAAATTACATTTCTTGATAGCTATAAATATACCGTGTGAAACCTCCGGTAACTCGATTTCCGTGCACCCAGCCCAATATCCAAGAAAAACTTTTTCTTTTGTAAATATGTGAAAAATTATCGATGTAGGAACGGGAATATCGAAAAAGCTTTGCACATTTTTTAATCCCGGCGATGTTATTAAAAAAACAAGTTGCACACTTGAATCACTGCGAAATTTTAACACCTACTATGAATTTTTTTTTGTGGAAATCTGAAGTGCAGGTTTTGTCCTTGTTAAAACATAATGCAGTCTCGCATTTTTTACACACAACATAAGTTTACCTAGTTCCTTGGCATAGTAACCTGGTAGTTTTCAGCGAAACCTTGTGTTATTCCATATGAGATAATGGTTTTCCTTGCCCACACTTGACCAGATGAGCAGGTATAAGGTTTATAGTGTAAGTTATTTAACATTATATTATATTTATACTTTATTAAACTAACAAATATATTTTAAATTACATTTCTTGATAGCTATAAATATACAGGGTGGAACCTCCGGGAACTCGATTTCCTTGTACCCAGCCCAATATCCGAAAAACCCATACTCTGATTGGACTGGTAAATGCATTTTATTGGTTATACAGTGTAAAATAATCGAGGTTACTCACAGATATTCAATTAATTATACTAAAGTCGTCGTCTACATCCGAGATGTCGGATTCGCTTTCGCTACTCTCCCCTGTGTTCGCGTGTATTATCAATTGGTCTACGTCATCTTGCAGGTTGTCCGCAGTCCACATCTCAGTTTCCGTTTTCTCAACAACATGAGTGACATAATTGCGCCAATTTTGCTCTGTGACGCGTGCGAAACCGTCGTCGTTTTTAAAAGTGGTATTATGGGTACCTACATATCGCTTAACTTGGTTCCACACAATTTCTATAGGATTCAATTCGCAGTGATATGGAGGAAGCCTTAAAATATAAACATTATGTTGTGAAGCATACTCATCAAGATGATACTTATCGATTTGATCTTTAAAAGCACGCGCTGCTTCTAATAGCTCGGATTTTAAATAACACTCCTCGAAAAAAATGTCTTTTTCCACTAGCCATTCCTTGATTGCAGCTTTATTCCAGGAATTGTTAGGGAATCTCTCTTTACGGGAGTGGTACGATGCATTGTCCATTACAATGACATCCCTCCGACCATTATTTGGTAAATTTGATATTAATGTCTCCTTAAACCTTATTAATTTCATCGTGATAGTCGACATCATTTTTCTTTGCCAGAAAAACACGCTGTGTGCCAGGAATGAAACCTCCTGAAAAACCTGCATGCAATGAAACATATCGTGGACCTCGTTTAGTAGGTGCTTTTAAGCCAGTACTTAAACCTTTGAGAAAAGCATCACGACTGTTTTGTATCGTAGTATCGCAGCATTCGTAATTTATAGATTGGCCAACATTAACCCACGATTCGTCCAAATATATGATATTGCAATGGTCTTTTCGCAAACGTCGTATAGTTCTCAAATAATTATGGAGCCAATGAATAATATCCTCTCGCTCCACCATGATGCTTTTTCGGCCACGTTTCTTATAAACTAATCCAATATTTTTCAGCAATCTGTATAAAGTAGAAAGAGACAACGGCTGTATATTCTCATTACCTTGTATGAAGTTATGTATATGCTTTAAGAATGGCGGCAAATCTTTCATGAAAAATTCACAATGAACAATTCTCCGTAGAATACTTCTTACACTCTCGTCATATGTGAATATTCTAGAATTTGATTGACACACTCGTTTTTTACTTTTTTTGACGATTTCAACGTTCCACTCTGTTCTTTTTCTTTTTTGAAATTGTAAATGCTTCTTTCGCTAACACCCGTCATCAACAAAGTACGTCTTACAGCAGCACTTACATTAAGTTGTTCCGTATTTTGTAAAAAACACAACACATTTAACACTACGAGTTTAGCGCAACCGTTAAATAATTCACCGGATTTAAACTTATGGGACTCCATGCTCTCTGTTGAAACTCGGACTAAATTTTGAAGTGTAGTTTCGTTTTCCAAAAGCAATTTCACCCCCTACCCATTCTTAGGATGGGTAGGGGGTGAAATAGGGAAAGCTTGGAGTTTATCAAATACTAATTATAACAAACAAGTTTATGGTCATATTTAGGTGATTATGTTAATGATGGTAATTTGTAGCAGAAGTTTTACGAAAGAAATGAAGACCTATTTATAGAAACAACATAACTGTATTTTTAATATTTTACATACAATAGAAAAAATCTAATTTCTATGAAAGAATTGAAAATTTGAATATTATATATAATATCTATAAATAATATCATTTCCAAGTTTCCAAATTCTTTCCTAGAAATTATGTAGGTTTTTTCTATTTTATGTAAAACATTAAAACTACAGTTATTGTATGTTGTTCTTGTAAAGAGGTGTTCAAATGTTACTCTTATGAATATGATTCAATTGTATATCTCATGTTGATGTTTTATATGCAAAATTCATAGTTTTCGTTATCAATAACTCATCAATGCCTTTTTATTCTACTGTATACGTATACATGATATAAAATATTTTACTCGTACTGCCGGCAGATGCATTTTATTCAAGCCAGTCCTGTGAGACAATGAGCAATCAACAGCTGGAGAAAACCGACAACCCTGCGCGTTTATTCTCCATAAGAAAAGCATTGCCGTACTGCACTCTCAGTGTGACATTTTATATAGACCGTGTATCCGTACTTATACACGCGGCGTAGAATAAAAAAATGCTTTTCCAGGCCACGTGTATATTTTTCGTATACTAGTCAAACTATAAAAAATATAATTAAATTATTTAAGCTATGTGTCTAAGGTATGTTGATAAACAATTTTACATAAACAATTTTCATAAAAAAATTAGTGTGGCGTACAGAACCCTCATGGTGAATTTGGTGTAGCAGTCAAAGTGCTAGACGAAAAGTTATTGTTTTCTTCTGTAAATCAGGTTTTCCCACGAATTTTTATATCCAGCTGGTTCAAAAGGTTACATTTGATTAATGCCGTTGTAATCCACTAGTAAAATTCGTTTTACATCACAAAAACCTGATGCTAACACTTTCTTAGCTGAAATTTCACGTGTACCATCAAATAGCAGAAATCCATCTCTAAAAAAAGGAAAACAACGAAGCAAACAGCGCCACCTTTCATCACAACACAAAATTTATTAAAACATGTATAGTGCATTGCAAATTCTAAGAGATGGGAAACCCAAAAACTTCATGCAGTCTACCTTTATCAGAAAGCATTGACAAACAAATTAAAACAAGCGATTACTACCTCTAACACGGTGAAACTATCATTTTCAATGCGCTTCTCAACACTGTTTGAATTTGTTTGTGATCTTTTATAATTTGCAATGCAAAGGCTATAGCGGGATAAGATGATAAATTCTGCACTCGACTGGATTTTTATTTGGGATTAGGCACTTGAACGTACATATTTAGAACCCCCTTTAGACAAATTTTTAGCTCGCTAGGTGACTCTTGGGGTCCCCTATCGCTAAAATGTGTTTTTTAAAAACAAATTTTCCTGGGTTATCTTTTGCTTTAAAAAATGTGAGCAAATTCGCAACCAAAAGACTCTGATTTTTTCATATTTTTTGGATTAAATATAATAAATAAAATTGAACTTTTCGCTCCAGAAAATTTCGCTCTCTTTTTTTTATTCATCTTTTAAGCACATAACTTCATTTAAATGTAACAAATAACGATTTTTGTTTCTTTTCCCTCTACATTTAATAATTTCATTGAAAAAATTATCAAAATTTGTCATAATTTGTTATTTTGAAACTTTTTGTATTGAATTTAAAAAAATAATAAAATTACTTTATTTAATTTTAAAACTACAGAAAACATAGTATGAAGCTTCTGCTAGTCTACAATATAATCTACTGTACCACTTTCGTTCAAAAGAAGAAAAAATCGGTATTTGTCACATTTAAATGAGATTATTTTTTTCAAAAATGGAAACAAATTTAAAAAAGAGGGTTTGTCGTATTTTCAGCATATTCTGATCTGAAAATGATAAACCGGGTCGCGCTATGAGGAATCAAAAATATATAATATAAAATTGTTACTTATTGACATACAGTTTAGTTTATGTGCTAAAACCATGGAAAAAAACACCAAAAATGGATTTTCTTTTTAATTTTCACGATTTTCCGAAGCGAAAATGAAAAATCGAACCCAGTCTTTCAAAAGAACGGAATTTGCCAAAATACCTAACCTAAAATTTTCTTGAAAATTTAAAATATTTTTCCTGAGCTAAATTTTGATCCAAAAAATCAGAGTGTTTTTCGACAATACAATGTATATTCGTGAATTTTTCAGATTTTTTACAGCTCAACCCCAAAGAAAGATCTAGCCGAGTGCAGATTTTACCATCATATCCCGCTATAGCCTTCTATAGTATATTTCATAATTGCGATCGAAGTACAACTTTTTGATGGGCACCTGTTCTCTTTTTGTCTTTAGGTGGTTGGTATGGTGACCAGGAAAGATTTAGCTCGATACCGGGTCTGGAGGCACAGGGGCCACATGGGGGTAGAAGAATTGTTTATTTCCAAAGAAATTTAGATTTAAAGGAGTCAAGTCAGGCTGTTATCGTATGAAGTATTAACAGAACAATAGCAAATTATATTTTTATATAAGATATATCTATTTTTACCTTTGCAACCAACAACTTTCCAAAGAAGTGACGGTCAGGTGTGCATAGATAGAAAATCATGTTTTTTAAATTATGGTGATAGACTATTTCGGTGAGATTTAAACGAGATGAACAGTTAAGTTCTTATTTAAAATAAGTATGACAATATTTGGATTAGCATCAATATGGATTTAAGTAAGTTTATTTCAGTGAAAAGTCGTAAAACTATTATATCGTGACAATTTTGTTTAATTTTACGCCTTTTTAAATATTGTTCTCTAAAGTGTCGATAAAATAATACCAGACAATAAATTTATACACATTATGTCAATACGTACAATATTAATGTTTGCACACGACTGACCAATTTTACCATAATTGTTTCGTGGATGTTTTTCACAGCTACTTCATTATTGACAAATGTTTCTTTATTTTGTTAGTATAGTACGTCTTCTAAAAGTATGTGAAAATTAAAAAAGTGTTTCCTATATCTTGAGGTTCGGCGTTGGATGTTTTTTGATACGAGTTATTAACTTTTCTTTTTTATCTAAATTTTCTTTAAATACTTCTCTTTGTCTCCAAATTTCCTCTTCGGTGACAACGTGACACAGTAGTGGATCCATCAGGACGTTGGCTCACTGAGGTGATGTCCTAATACAGTTAAGCCAGTTAAGATATGTAGAAATGAAAAGGAACTTCCCCGAAAAAGGAAGTTAGTTCAGTAATCTGATTAAAATGTTCTCTAAAATATCAAATTTTGTCTCCGAATTTCCTCTTCCGTGACAACTGATAGGAATAATAGATCCAACGGGGCGTTATCTCGCTGAGCTGATGTCCTCCTACAGTTTTTTGTCAGTTGGATATTCATGAATTAAGTGGAAACTGAGCTGATTTCATTGTACAGTTTATATTTAATAAACAAGAAGCTGCCAAAACAATTTGGAAAACATAACTTTATGGTAAAGGTAGAAAATAGTCTTTAAAATGTCATTATCTCCGAATTGCCTCTTAGTTAACAACTGACAGCGGTAGTTGATCCAACGGGACGTTAGCTGATTGATCTGATGTTCTGCCACAGTTCTTTAGCAATTGGATGGACATTAAGCTACCAAAATATTTGGGAAAGATAATTTCACGGTAAATGTTGAAAATATTCTTTAAAATGTTACATTTTATCCCCGAATTTTATCTTCGGTGACAACTGAGAGCAGTAGTAGATCGAACAGGAGCTTAGTTCACTGACCTGATGCTCAAATACAGTTTTTTAGCAGTTGGATAGAGACTAAGCTACCAACAAGATTTGGTAAATTTTGAAAATATTCTTCAAAATGTCACTTACGTCACGTGTTTTCATGCCGAATATATATATATATATATATATATATATATATATATATATAACCAGATGGAGCCACATGTTTCTTCTGTTTTGTGTAATCTTTACTTTGATAACTTTCTGTCCATTCATTAATTTCATGGGTATTATTACAACCTACTATAAGTCAAAGCCTTCTTTAAAAAAATCTAATTCACCTGTACTTGTCATTTATGTTCTCCATTTTTAAATAACGATATATTTCATTTTTCATTTCGTTTCCAAATTCCAGCACTTGTAGTACATCATTTTTAAGTAATTATCCAAGTAGATATCCTTTTTTGGTATCTGTCTTTGGTACTTTTTACAACGTTTAACTCCCATAAGTAGGCAACTTCTAGTCAAAGATTTCTATGGCACATTTTGTATTATTGTATTTGTAATTTCCACACATACAATCTACGCTAATGGTATAAAAAAGAAGAAAATTTCACATACTTTTTAGACGGTATAAAAAAAATTCCACATATTTTTTAGATGTACTGTCTATATATTGTTTAGGTTTTATGAATCTTTTCCTTTGTTAACTTACTGTTACCATAGATATTTATTTAGGTTAGGTATTTTTGTGATATTCTAGTTAAGTCTCAGTTTTTATTCTATTTACAGACAATTTTTAATTTTGAGAGTTATTTAATGTATTTAGTAATTTTCATGGCGCCTCGTAGCCAAACTAGGAGTTTCTCTACCGATTTAAAGCAAGTTCTATTACTTTTATCGGTAAAAAAAATTTCTTCCTCGAATATTTTAGATTTTTAAGGTTATTGAATATATTCAATTATATTTTGCGGTACCCTCGTAGCTAAAATGGTGTTAGTTTGGCTACCCATCCAAAGTGAAGTTCAAGCCTTATTATAGGTATGTACATCGAATTCCTTGCAGAATATTTTAGAGTCTATTTAAAAGTAGAAAGAAAATACTTTTTACATTAAAAAAAAAATATGATTTCTTCGTTTTATCTTCCATTTAATTTGCTTCTTATTCGAAGGAAATGCCCACATAATCTCTGAATATCGTGTAATTTATAAAGGTATTTCTTTTATTCCCCTCGTAGTTGAACCTGTCGGAATTTGGCTACCGATAAAAAGTTGGAAGTTTTATTTGTGCTGTAGATAAGTCGAATATTTTAGAGTATATTTAAAAGTACAAAGAAAATACATCTTTACATTTTACAAAATTCTGCTTTCTTAGTTTTTTCCTCTTTAATTTGGTCCATATTCGAAGAAAATATCCGCATGGGAATATATTCAGTATTTTTTGCGATGCCCTCGTAGCTAAATTGCTATGAGTTTGTCTACCAATCAAAAGTTTAAATTTATTCTTGTTAAACATCGAAGCCGTTTCCATGAAAATATGAAACCAATCTTTTTTTGTTGTAGTTTTCCGGTAGCTAGAGCATTCTGGAAAGTTCCGTTGAACTTATTGGTGTTCTCGAACATGGAAATTAGGAAACATTTAACAAAATTCTGATCAACTTTCATTTCTTCATCTGTATTTTTCTTCCCATCCGAAGAAAGACACTGCAAAACCTATGAATGCCGTATTTTTTCACCACTGTCTTTTCCGAATGTTTTGCTAAATTGCCTTGAATTACGAAACATTTTTTCCTTGCTATTCGAAGAAAATAACTACAAACTCACAAAATTGACAAAATTCTGCTGAATTATTTTCAACCTGCCATTATGGAACTACATTTTCTCTTAGTTGGAGTAGGTTAAAGAGTGGAATTCAAAGAATAAGTTAGCTTCACGCACTAGTATAGGAATGTTTCAGCAATAATTGACCAGCTTGGTTCCTGCTGCAATAAATTGCAATAATGTTAAAACTGTATCAATAAATTATCTCTTAGCTGTAACTAATAGTGAATATATAAAAGACCTAGCTACTTCTTCTTCTTATTTTTCCTCTTTATAAGCAATTCTGTTTATCCATTGGCGGATTAATACCTCTATGGAAGGTTGTCACACCATCTTTTGCGCGGTCGTCCGATACTTCTGCTGATTGGTGACTTACCTCTTGCCATTTTGACGATACGGATCTCCTCCATTTCATCCATGATCAAATTAAAGAGCATGGGGCTCAATGGATTCCCTTGTCTTATTCCGCTGCCTATTTCTATAGGTTCAGTAAGTTGTCCATCTATTCTGACTTCCATTTTGTTGTTTTGATAGATGTTTTCGATAGTTTTTTTAATATTTAGGGAAACTTCTCTATTATACAAAAGATGGATTACATCTTTGAGTCTTACTCTGTCAAACACTTTCTTTCGATCAATCAGACACAGAAATGCTGGTCTATTATACTTTAGTGATTTCTTAGTAATTTGCTTTATATTGCATATGTACACGATCTTCCACTACGAAAACCCTGTTGTTCATCATCTGCTAAACTTATCCTCTGATTTATTAGCACTGATAAAATTTTAGTTGTTAGTTTTAGCGTAGTATTTAACAAGTTTATACCCCTGTAGTTTTAAGCCTATTTTTTATCTCCTTTTTTGAATAGTAGAATTAGTTCGCTCGTTCTCCATTCTTCCGGTATTTTATAATTTTATTAATTAATGTTGTTAATTGTTCTGTCATTGCTGTTCCACATAGCTATACTACGATCGGGTAAAATTGCAATTCTTGCCAAAATTATTTGCTAGAATTAATCTAAATAGTAAACCCAAAGCATAAATATGTGATAATATACAATTTATATCAACCTATTCCTTTCGCTCGTTCCAGTCCCAAATAAAAACGTAAATACATTAAATGATTCTATGAAAACCTAATTATATCATGTTTTTTTACTGCATCAGTCATCAACGGTTTAAAAACTGATAAAAACGTTCAATTGATACAGACCGAATCACAAATTTACACAGTTTATTTATACGACGGTGGTTTGATGATTTTTTTCATGGAACTTAATAAAAACACAAAAGATGTCAAACCACCTTGTATATATTTACCATAGACATATAACACAAGCTAGACTGATCGTTGCAATGCCAGCCCGTTCTCCCAGTGCGACACAGAAAACTGACGCAAAGCAGTCCATGCATATCTTTCTTAGTTGTCAGGTTTATCGACCACTTGACCTAAATGACCAATGAGGTCACGTGGTGGATAAACCCGGCCCATTAGACAGAGACACATAGACTGCTCTGTGTCAGTTTTCTCTGTCGCACTGCAATAACGTGGCTGTATTGTAGCAGTCAGTCTATCTTGTATTATATTTCTATGATGTTTACAGTATTATTAACCGTTTGTAATTCTTCATCTATCTTATATAGTCCAGTCATCAGAGATTTGACCTCTAAAAATCATACGAACCATCGCCGGTCGCGTCAAGAGTTGTTTCTGAGAGAACGGTCATTGTACACAAAAAGTGCTAATACACATTTTTGTTCAAAATTATGTCAACTACATTGTTGTTTAAAACATTTTTTCTACGGCTTACAGATTCTTGTTAAATCGATGTTTTCCGCCCCCCTCCTAGATGGGAACTTTTAGGGGGAACCCTGGGGGTTAGCAGTGCCAAACTTTTTTGCATCCTTTTTTGGGTGCCAAATTAGATATTTTCAACAAAATCTAGCTTGTTCGTATGCTTTTTATAGGTTCAGTAGCATGTTCGTCTCTGACGACTGAAGTATGCAGGGTACGGCATATAAACGGCCAATTAGAAATACAGTATAGCTCAAAATAAACAGTACTGAACTTGTAATTATTTTATTGTTTTAAAACATGTATTTTATAACATGTTGTAATTATTTTATTGTTTTAAAACATGTATTTTATAACATGTTCTAAATGAGCTCCTCCTCCCTCAAGACAGTCTTAATACCGATATTTATACGACGTATCCTTTAACTCTGCATTTCCTACGCATCCTTTAACTAATTGATGGTTTGTGGTGCCCATTTAAAAACGGCAGTTTTAACCATACTCCAAATGTATGCATCTGGATATGTTAAGTGTGGAGAATGTGCAGGATAGGGAAACTCAGTAAATCATGAAATGAATTTGTTTGGAAAATGTCCGTAAAGAAATTGACGAACTGCGAGAGCAGTATGGCAAGTTTCCCCATCCTGCTGGAAATTGCCGTATTTCCAGCTGTGTCTCCTTCTTGTGTTTTTACAGTTACTACGGTTTTGCTCATTGTCATTTTTATTAATCGTCTTAATTTGTTGTGTATTGTCATTTCTCTCATAGCTGTAAGTAATTTCGCTCTGTTTATTGAATCAAATGCTTTTTGGAAGTCTGTAAAAAGCAGTTCAATTTCTATTTTATATCCATAAACTTTCTCCATAATTTGCTTTACCGTATGTATGACATC